TATTAAGCACAAATGCATGATATTAAATTGGATGTGAAATAGTTTTAACTCAATGATTATAGGAACATACTTAATAACTCTTGCTCTTAGCAACATATAGATCTCAAACAATAACAGATCATTAGCATTATGTATGGACTACAACCAGTAGAAAAAATCATATTTTTTTTCCAATAAACGGTTGAAGCTTCATAAGCAAACATATCTTGGAGTACCAAGTCGGCTCCTCACGCCCATATATATCAATTGGTATACATGACTGAACAGAAGAGGACGAAATTCAAGAGAAACATAGATTTACTTTGATGTGTTATCAGAGAAAATAATTGAATGTAATAGTAATTATAGAGGGCGTTCAATGGCCCAAAATACCGAAAAATGTGATTTATCAAATATAATTGGTAATCATCATAGTGGTACATGTTGCTATGATAGTAAGCTGAAAATACTAAGTATAATAAATGAATTTAAATATGTATATTAAACGAGTGTAGAGTATTAATGAAAACTCAAGATTTTAATGGTGTAGAATAATAATATGTTTTTTTATTTATCACGAAAACAAAGTAAAAAAATGGATAAATTAATTTTACATTGAATACATGAATTATTTGTGAATTTTTGAACCTTGACAAGTTCATCATCCGACATAACGTAATCGATACAATTTCATAAATCATCATAACATAAACTAAACCAAGACTAAAATCGATAAACCAAGTGTTAATATTAGAGTATGTCGCTGTTGTAAATAATTTAAATGAGCGTAGTATCTTAATAAAAAATCAAGGTTTTACTCATGTAGCTCAAGCCATATTGATTATGTTATGTCTGATGATGAATTTCTCAAGGTTCAAAAATTCACAAATAATTCATGTATTCAATATAAAATTGATTCATCCGTTTTTTTAGTTTTCTTTCGTAAAAAATAAAAAAACATTATTATTCTGCACCATTAAAATCTTGGGTTTTCATTAATACTCTACACTCATTGAAAATAAATATTCAAATATATTTATTATATTTATCATTTTTAGCTGAGTATCATATCAACATGTACTACTTTTATGATTACTAATTATATCTGATGTATGTAAAAGATGTTTTTTGTTCATTTGATAAATCATATTTTTCGGTTTTGTGGGTCATTAAGCGCTCTCTATAATCACTGTTACATTCAATTGTTTCCACTGATAACACATCAAAGTAAATCTATGTTTCTCTTGAACTTCATCCTGTTTTGTTCAGTCATATGTACCAATTGTTATAGATAAATATCCCCATATTGCATCATTATCAACGATTTGTTTTCGTTCTCTTCTTTACACAGTGTCTTAACCCATAGTATGTTTTCTCGTCATATTTCTGCTCGTCTTCGAGACCCTACGAAACCACCGTCTCATTGGAAATAAATGAATTAAAACGGATCAAAAAGAATTTAAAAGTTGTTATTACCAACAAGGTTATCCTCCATTTTACATTTCATCAATATATGATGAAGTTTATCATGTTCATCAATTCACAACACCTGACACGAAGAAACTTATAATAAATGATGTTGCAGGCTGCCGATTATTTAGCGTCGACACAGAATTAAATCGACATACCTCGTGCATTTGTATGGATCCAAATTCATACCATCACAATACTGTTTTTTTTATTTTACTCATTCAATTATATCATTTACCACCGTCTAATCCTGAATTATATAGACAAATTTATTTCTTATTTCGATCTGGTAGCATCATTTATTTTTGAGGATCTTCAATTTGAGAACCGGAGAAGACCCTGATTTATGATCTTTTTTATTGAGAACATTTCAACTCGTCACGTGACGAGTTGAACAAACAGCAAAAATCAGACCTTTCGTAACACCAAAAATAGGGATATCCAAAAATACAGGGATGTCGTAACGAAATTTACAGGGCGATCGTAACGATTAACACAGGGAGTTCGTAACAGTTACAGAGCTTTCGCAACAAAGCAACAGGGAGTTCGTAACAGTTACAGAGCTTTCGCAACAAAGCAACAGGGATTTCGTAATGAGGATGAGGGTGATAGCTGGACTTCGTTTGCAGAAATTACATGCTTTTCGTTATGAAAGCTCTGTAATGGGCTTTCGTACTGTCAATTCGTTACGAAAGCCAGACAAGAAAAAACGTGACGAGCTGAAACATTCCCTTTTTATTTTTCTCTAGCATGTGAATCTATTAATCTCCAAGATATATTCAAATTTTGGATTAAAAGGACACTAGCTCCATGTGTGGTCGGCAAGTATGTTGTTATTGTTCCATGTGGTTGCGACAATGATTCTTTCTTACATGTCAGAACTAATGAAACACGGTCTTTACAAGATGCTATTAGATACACATGTAACCAATTTCTTGACAAGTCATTTACAAAATCTTCATGGAGTGTTATGTGAGACTTGCTATACTCAACATTATTTTCATCTTCATTACAAAATTTAATTAGATATGTAATTTATGATTGTATAGCTGTGCCATATTTATATCGGCCAGTTGAAGATGCAAGGATTGAACAAAAATTCAAATAAGTAACAATGCAAATATTATTGAAAGATTCATTACCAGTTACAGCAAATATTGGATTAGAAAACATATCTGATGATAAACGTGAATCTCTTATTGTGGGTGTGCGTGTGCGTATGAATCTGCTCTACGTTTCCACCTACACCCTTAGAGATAGTAGTAGAATTAAAGATAATGATGATAAATATCAATTTCTTCAAAGATAAGTTTTTTTACCAGTGATTAACTTATTAGGTAAAATTACAGCTATCATTGATTTCATTAAGGTGATCCATTGAATTGCAACATATACAAGTATCGTGTTTTCATAGTCAGTGATATTACCAGGTTATTTCGCTTCTTAATGTGTCTTCACATTTTTTTGTTTCTCAATATCTTTGAACACCGCTCAAGAGCGAGAATAAAAATTGTAAGATACTATTTTATTTAATGTCACTCGTGCTCTTTTCAACGATTAAATAATTATGTTGTCCTGCAACAAGAAATATATTGATGATCGTTATTATAATTTATTCGGTTAAATGCATGATGGACTTTATGATGTAACAATGCGATTCACAACAAAGGAAAGATTTTTGAACGAATGTATAAATATATAAATTGTTGTGGCTAAAATGCTATTCGGATAAAATATGACTTAGATAATAAGCTGTTTGTGTGCATTTTGTAATATAACTGCTCATGTTATATTAGAAAATTCTAGTAACTCAGTACTTCTTATTTTGATGATTGATAATTTAGGGGTGTGGATGTGGATTTAGTTCAACACAAAACCAACACTCACATCCACACCCTTTGGTAATTGAAACAATTTTCCTATTTTTTTGACAAGAATGCGAAAGAAGACTTTTAGAGTTTGAAAAGTCTAGAAACGATGGCGACCTTAGAATTTGAACTTTTTTCTTCAACTGAAACTCCTCAAAATAAAGCATATGTAAATATGAATATACTAATTAGCGTATGGATATTGCGAAAAACGAGTTCATTTCAGTAAGACTTCAAGTACGTCTGACGTATCGTTGCTCTTAGAAAACATTTTTTTGTTACTGGAAGTATCTTAACTAATATCTCCGACATTTATTTGACAAGTATTTAAAATTTGAATTAAAATGAAATTGTCATTGAAGAAGATATGAGACAATATCACAACACATCGTTTTTTTGAACTAGAAGGTATAAAGTGAGCCTGTGTATGGAGTTTCACGTTTATCTACAGCCATATACGCACTTAGCCACACTCACATCGACATAGATTCCATACACTTCATGAATCCTTAATGCTCCTGACCACAAAGAGTCTATGCCCCATACCCTCTAAAGATTACGGTTGTGACCAATGGGTGTGGGGTGTGGATGTGGATGTGGGTGTGGGTGTGGGTGTGAGTGTGGGTGTGAGTGTGGGTGTGAGTATAGTGTGACTATTCTTTTCACCCAGATCGAGACCCAGACCCACACCCCACATTCCACACCCCACACCCACACCCTTTTAGACGTTCATGAACAGCAGATGACATTGATGTTAAAGTACTACAGAACAGTAACAGAAAGTGAACAGCTTCTTATTAAAATATGTTCTTCTCTTCTGCAGACGCAGACAGTGACGATGTGAAAAACCTGAAATTAACCTAGCTCTGTGTTGTACAAAAGATGCTTCAACTTGTCCAACGGCATGGATTGTAAAATAGCTAATCTAAAGGCTCATCGCTGTTACCGAAATGAATATCATACTAAAAAACATTTACTTCATTGATTCTTTCATCTCGATCAACATGTACTTCATCCAAAACTGAATTAATAAAAGACCTAGAACAATCTGTATACAGAATGAATTGCTGGTTCGATGCAATTGCTTTAAATAGTTGTTGATCCGAGTTTACAATGTATTGCTCAAGCGTGTTTTACATTAGTAAAAATTAATAGGGAGTATTGTTATATTTGTGGCTCTTTTGCTTAGGGCAAGAATACCGTGATGAGACGAATCTGATGAGAGTCGATCTTCTTTCAAGTGATTTTAAACTTAAATATGACAATGAAATCTTTAATGAGAGCATTGATAGAGAGTGTGTGGTGGGTGTCGATTTTCTCTCGGAAGATATACTCATGCCCATTCCAAATCCGACACCATACACCCACTCCACCCACACTCTGACGCCCTTACTTGATCTCACACTATACTCTGTATAAAAAAACTAACAATTTAGTTTAGATCATTCTACGAATAAAAAAAAACCATATGAGGTACAATCAAAAAGAATTATTGAATGTATGAAGAAACAACAGAATCTATTCTTCGCTTTTGTTCTGAGAAACATAGATTGGTACATTGTCTGGATCACGAATCACAATTTCTCTGCCATATATTCCGTTGGATTCTTTAAAACTTATATTTTCTGCTTTCATCTTGGCTAGGAATGTGTTCAGATCATTACACATAATTCTTATACCTTCAAAACCAATTTCATTTTGTTGTAAATCTCTAAATGGTGGTATTTGTCTTGAACTATTAAAATGTCTTATTTCAATAGTTGTATACGGGCGTTTCCACAACCATTCACGATTAACAATGGCATCTTTGATATCGGATTTTGGAGGATCTTCATTCGTCCAGGCAAAAAAATATAATGTAAAATCAAATCGTGACACTTCTTGTATCGATAGTAATTTCATACCCAATAGATCTTGATAGAATCTCTGAGTTTTATCCATATCACTTGTATTTAACGTTATTTGACCGATACAGCTGGGATATCCCAATGGAAAGTTATCTGATGGTGGCTGTTTACCACTTTTGCTGATCTTAGCTTTAAATGTCGTGTCAAAATCATGCTGCAATAATTCAATACAAAAACCGTTGGGATCTTTCAAGTGGCATAGATAGCCAATATCTTCAAACTGTGATGCATCAGTTGTATTCACTTGTTTTGATTGTAAAATTTGTCGTGCATAATCAACATCATACAATGTTATACCAATCTTCCAATAAACTTTTGACGCACCACTATTAACAAGAGTTGAAGTATTTGCTGATGAATCATTGTGATGAAATTCGAGTAATGTCGGCGAAGGTAGTGTATTTGAAGCTTTGTTAAAATTTTCATCATAATTTATTTTGTACCCCAAAACATTAACATTATATGGTAGATATGGTGTAGAGATTTTAACGTTTTCCATGCCAAAATTATCCACATAAAATTTAATCAGTTCATTTGAATCTTTAACACGAAGAATATGATGTGCTAATGTCAAACCCATTTCTGTTGCAAAAATAGATGACTGCTTAGATGTTGACATTTTCAAACTTGTATTAAACAAGACAATTTTACTTGCCTAAATAATTTGATTATCTAAATATGCTGAAAAAACACCAACATATACATATATAACCTTTAAACTTAATAAGACAAACAGGTTAATACTTATTAAAAAGAGAATTTATTTTTTTTGTTTTTATATGCCATGAAAATATTCCTGGCTATCTTCCTTTAATGAACGGATTCCTTATTATATTAAAAAAAAATGAATCAAATAAAAAATAAAATAGGAAGAAAAAGGAAAATATTGTTAACGAATGTATGCATATAAAGTAACATAATACTTATTGGTGCTTTCTTGTTTCTTTTGCTCTTTGATAACTCAGTCATATTTGAATAAAACAAAATAGCGACCGTTATTCTCTACAGAAATCTTAGTGTGGAGATAAAGAAGAATTCTCAATTGACTGAGGTCTAAAATTCTGTCTAAGTTTTTCAAGACTATAACTGGGTATGGCCAACTAACTCTGCTACCGGAGTGAAATTCCGTAACGTTTTTCGCTTATTTTGTTTTCTCGATAAATATCAGGCAGTAGCACGTGAAGAGTTGCGAGACGTCTTAAATTAAAGAGAAAAGTCTTGTACATATTTTAAGATATTTTTCGCTTTTGGAACATTTGTCGTTTCCAAGATGTAACAAAAGAATTGAACACCACTTTTGAAAAAGTAATAATTTTCAGAATTGAAAAGTAGTTATCAGTTTTTTAATTATATCTTGGAAACGACAAACGTTCTAAAAGCGAAAAATATCTTAGAATATGTACAAGACTTTTCTCTTTAATTTAAGACGTCTCGCAACTCTTTACGTGCTACTGCCTGATATTTATCGAGGAAACAAAATAAGCGAAAAACGTTACGGAATTTCACTCCGGTAGCAGAGTTAGCTGGCCATACCCAACTATATTTATCTATCTCATAGTAAGGGGAAAACGCTGCCGTCAAACAACTCTAAAGAAAACGTACATCCCCACAGATGATGACAGTGGTTAAAATTCTTGATAGGGTCTGTTTTAAGAAACATTTCCTTCACACTACTTGAATGAAACAGGTGGTGTTTTGATAAGATTTTCACATTGCTACAACCAAAGAAATGATAAAAATATCACTATTTGTCAATTGTTATTTACTAACACTAATATTTGAGAGATTCACGCAGATGTTCCTTCCCTCTTCCATTATTCACTAAGAACACCTACCTATATTTAATTAAAATGTGGCTTATCAGAACATAATGATGCTATTGATTGATTGGGTTTTCATCGTTGTCGTAATTAATAATGATAGTTTTTGAACTATTGCAGATAGCGCTACTAGCGATAAGGTTCTGGCTTGTATGAGCAGAGATGTCAATGCCAATGGCCAATTCACAATACATGAACAGTATATTCGTTATCGACATGGTCATCTTAGTTGAATTTATACCCATCATGAATGGACTCGATACCCTAGCTCTAACCCTATCAATCAACCACCTAAAATACCTATTCTCGATCGCCATCGATGATCCTTGCTTTCCCTTTATTCGAATTCGGTGTTTTATTAAGTGCTTCAATGAATATCGCTTCACAACTAATAAACACTCGCTTCTATTATTGTTGTCGAAGTTTCCTCCGCATGCTTAAGATGCGTCTTCGAATCTGAATCGCAACAGATCCAATTCTTTGGTGTAGCTCAATCTTTCAATTACCTTGAAATCAATGTTGTGTTCCTTCATAAAATACGCGTCTTACCTAAGTTTTTTTTTTACAATTGATCAAAGGTCGAGAGGATGGGTGTGGGAGAGAAAAAGGAAACACCTACATACTCATGCAAAACTTAAACTCGCACGTACGCCCTTCAAATGACTTTTGTTTCTTCAAAATGAGTCATTGGTTGAAGAGAAGTGAAAAGAAGTGAATATGAACTGCTAGAAAGCTAAAGTATAGCTTTATTTCACTGTTTTTGGTGACTCGAACTGAAATTAAACGGTTCGGACTCTGATGTGGATGCTGTAGAGTAATCTGAGCAATCTAAACACGCTTTTGTTTTTTTTCAAACATCAACTCACTTGTATATTATATTCTTAAAGCAAAAGGTGAATTGAAGTATGTTTCTTTCTGTTGATTCACCGTTATCGTATTTTTATCAGCTAGATGCACATGTTAGAGCAACGGTATTAGGAAAAATGATAATAAAAAAAGAATATGGCTAAGAACACGTTCTGAGAAAAGGAAAAATGCGTTTTAACGTATTCATAATAAGACAGCTACGATGTCATTGAATATGTTCCTATGTATAAGAATTCGTTCTTAAAGATGAATTTCAGAGAAACTCAGGCACCAATGATGAACCGAGGTTCTAGAAAAAAAGACCGACATGGATATGATGCCACCTCCTTCTCAGTTTACTTCGAAAAAAAAATTGATCAGTCTATTTCGACCCATTAATGGAAAATAGAACAGCTGCTGAATGAGTTCGCAGAATACATACAACGATGATGATAAAGCCATATCATATCTGATCCAATATGGTGATCATAAAGGATCAGAAAGCATAATTCATGAGCGAAACAAACCATCTGTTTGCCTTTTAACCCTTCGTTACTGTTCTCATTTTAGAACTTCATGACTGTTGTGAGGTCCGGATGGATCCACCCACAGAAAATCACAAAAAATTAATGCTTTTCTTTTCTTTAAGCTATTCACTTATATACTAAACACCTCTAAATAATCTTGTTGTCTAATCTGACATGTAAGCCTCCATAGGAGCAATATAAGAGTATACAATATCGGAAAAAAGTTAACTTGAACTGCTTCCACAACAGCATCAAAGTACCACTGAACAGACAGTAGATTCAATCACTTCAGTCTAGTACGGTGAAATTACACTCATATATTATCATACAAAATTGTCTGTAGATAAGAAGGGAGTACAGCTTTCTTTTTATTTATCTTTATTTTCATCTTCCTTTTTTTTCGTGACTAAAAGGTTATAAAATTGTACTTTCTCTGTCACAATGATCAAATTGTTCTTATTCCAGTTTGTTAGCATTTATTTCATTAATACAAATCTTTCCTATTTCTTTCCTTGACATGCTTGCTAAATGACCACAGTAATATTGCTAAGAGGAAAGATGCAGACATTTTTTCTACAATTATCACGAATTCGTCAAACTTGTCCAGGCTGTAATGAAAATAAATAATATCTTCTTTTGCTCGGTTTGAATGAGTGTTTACACTAAGGTCAAGTATATTTTTGAAGGAACATGATAATCGAGAGTCAGTAAAGCAAACATTATTTTTGAGAGCTTCTGCAAGTCGAAAAGTGTTGCCTATAACACGATAGTTATTGTGGGATCCATGCGGAGGGTGGATGTGAATGTAGCTGGACAGAACATCCGCTCACACTGCTACTCCTGATTCAAATGATACTTTCAATCAACTAATTTGAAAAAAAAAACATCCAAGAATATGTCCGTTTCATTATCAAAATACCAGTTTTTTTCATGTTTTTGACATAAAATTCATGAAAGTCGTGGAATTTTTTTGATTCATCAAATCACTGAGTAGCGAATCAAAACTGAGCATACATTTTATTTAACAACTTTTCTGTCACTCTTTGTCTTCTTCAAAATTTGATTTAAGATTATTTTTGATCAATATGCCTGCTTTATCGCCATCAATAGTAAGTATATCATATTTTAAAACGTCCATCCCAAGTGTGCACAATTTTCCTTGGTTAATACACTCTATAACATTGTAAATGTGTTCATCAATAACGAATTAAATTTTAGTTAATTTTTATCTTTGTACATCAACACCTATTTCAATATCAATATGGACAGCATAAATAGAAAATAGACCTATATCTGCTGGTATACAAGAATTTGTCGCTCCTATGCCTATTAAAATGGACAATCAACATGATTTTCGATGGTGTTTTGATTCCAAAATGTGCTTTTCAATTGAGAAGCCATCAAAGTATAGCCGTTGCCGATACAATGTGAGTGTTGAAAAAAATATCAATCATTTCGAACTAAAAATAGATTTGCAAGTTGAAATTCATCTGTTACATTTGGTTTATCATGAGGAATCATAAACACCCATTTAAAACTGCTATTGTCTTGAGCCATACCTCCTCCATTTTCAATGAAAATATAAACACCATTGGATGTGTCAAATTCTGTATCGATCAAGGTCGGATAGTTTTTACTTAAAGCAACAAACCTTCTGGTGTATCTTTATTCATACAAAGCTGGAATGAAAAAATCAAAAAATGGAGCAAAATCAATAAATACAGTGGTTTATGGATCAGAAACGAATACATGAATATCCATCAGTCAGGCTCAAAAAAAAGATGAGTACGTGAACCAATCAAGTACTATCAACTACGAACTTGAAATTGGTCCATTTGATAATATGTTATGAGTGAGCCTTCACCTCTTTAGTATGTTCCCCTATCTTGATGAATCACACACAAAATCGTTACTGCATTAACAATTATGTATGGCCTCTAAAATAAGAAAGAAGGCGTTCCCTATCGCGTATCAAAGAAACATCTGCTTGTATATTTTCATTTTAATGAAATACAAAAATGAATGTAAAAATGTTTTCATTACTTTAATTGTGATGTGACATGATTCCAGTCATATAATAAATTTGAAGATATTAAAAATGAAGTATATAATCACCGACTTTTGGAAATTTTTTTAAACGAATTATATCAAAAATTAATTATTGTTTCATTTATTATAAAATGAACAAAAACTAGCAAGTGCTCCCTTTTTTTATTACCTAAATTCGAACTTGAACAAATGCTATATTTTGATTCAAAAGAGTTTACTGAGCGAAAATTTCAATTAATAAATCAACTCATGATCAAGAATACAGCTTATTACTCTTGTAACCAATGCAAAGTCTATTGCATCGAATTTTTTTTTTGAGTCTTATTAATTAGGTTAATGATAATTCTTTAACTTATGTGTTTAAAGTCTATCCATAACATAGCAGTTTTATTTTCGGCTATTTGCGAACTATTACAGAGCAAAGATGTCCATAGGGCACGTTTTTCCATCCTGCTCTATCCTGTCCGTGTTTCAGAGCAGGACAAACGTCTCGCAGGATGAAAAGAATATTAATGGCGTATTATGGATATTGTGACCTCAACTACTGATATTTATGTATCCACCTAATACAGTAAAAAATCGTTAATTTAGCGTCATATATATACAACGAATGCATTAAGGGAATGTCCTAATAGCTATGTTGTGAATCTCGCTACCTGAGTTACGGATATTATGATATCGCTCCCGTGAAACATTGAAAATTATTAGTTCAACTAGAAATGGTTACTAAGCATCATTCGAAAATATCTTATGATGTATATGAGTTTCTTTTTTTGATTTCGTATGAAAACGACTTGAGAAACTGGTCATTTACGGCATTTTAGAAGCCACTCTATTCGACCTGAATCATTTTATTCGAAAATACTGAGATTCATATTCTTTATAGGCCACTTGTTATGATTATTTCGATCAGTGACTAAGCTGGATCGATTAAAAGGAAACTAATTTCAAGACGCCAATTATTTTCTTCATTGAGTAGCTAGCAAAAAAAATTATCTATGCATTTGTGTTCATTTGATGTTATTGAGATGAAACAACAATATTATAAACATCATAATAAAAATATGATGTTCATAAAACAAAAGAAAACAAAAAAAAATAACAACAACGTTATTAAAGAAAAGACAAACAAGAAAAGCGAAAATAAAAACAAATTGGATATCAATCTGTTTAATCACTAATCATCGTCGTCGTTAAATTTTATTTTTTTTCTACTTGTTTCACCATTACTATGACCGTTTTCGCGATTGCCAGTGAAGCTACGTTTGACACCACCACCGCGGCCATTTGCATTTATTGATGATCGTCCTTTTTTCGGTTCTGGACAATCAAATGATTTATGACCAGTTTTACCACAATTGAAACAACCACCATCTAAATTCATATTTTTTGTTTTCGTTTTATTTTCGAACTTCTTCTGTTGACTAGAAACTTACTGGATTGTTCCCGACCACTGAATCTTTTCGTTTCCGTGCATTCGAATGATTTATGACCATTTTGACCACATTTGAAACAGCCATTACCACCTATTAAAGAAAATTTGTCTACGCAAATCAAATGAAATTCAAATAACTTACCGGATTTTCGCTGAGATTGTTCACCATTTGCTTCAGGACATTCCCAAGATTTATGACCTTCTTTTTGACCTAAAATGATTTATCCGGATTTTCATTTCTACTATTCATTTTCAAATATGATCTGCTTCATTATTTTTTTTTTAATTTATAAAAAGTTATTTGAAAATACTTACATTTAAAACAAGCATCTGAAAAATAGAAAAAGAAATCAAACTTAATATATATTAAGAAAGATTATAGATTATTTTTACTTGATCGATCGGAATGTCGATTACCAGCATAACTACCACCACGTGTCGATCCATTGGTACTACGTGAAAACCCTCTACTACCATTTCTTGATGATTCATCAAGTTGTGGTAATTCTTTAATAGGTTTCATTTGAATTCGTGGACTATCTTTCCAATAACTTTGTAATTTTTCATCAAGTTCACTTGGTATATCAAATACTGCATTCTAAATACAATTCATTATACAAATGTTTCTTTTTCATTTCAATCTAATAATACCTACTCTATAATCCTTTGTGAATGCAACTTGTGAACAATTACCTTTTGCATCAAAATCTTCTCCAAAACATTTACGTAACATGGTAAACACAAGTCCAGGACCTTTAAATTCATCCGTAACTGATAACATATATGTTGTATAATTCTAATAAATAAACATAATAACCATAGATCAACAAAAGAATTTTTTCATACTTCTTTTTTTGTTAATAGAGAACGAGAAACAATGTTTGTGGTACCAGATATACAAGCTAATGCAGCTGATAGCGCATCAATTGCGTCACATGTTTCAAGAATTTTTTCTGCAGTTTTACGAAAATGTGCTTTAGCTTCATCAGTTACACTATCAAGAGCTCTAAAAACCAGAAATAAAAACAAAAATGAACATTGAAATTCGAAAATATTACTTAGCTGCATCGGCTGATGATGCAATAAGTACATCTTCTGTTCGTGGTGGTTCAATTCGTGTAAATTTAATACCCTATATCATCAAAATAATATAGTATTTGTCAAAATATATGAGCAACATATTTTTTTCCATAATACCAAGCATCCAACTGAAGTCCAAATAAAGTTTTAGTAATGTTGTGATAAATTTCGTTTTTTTTGTAATATTTAAATTTTTTTAACCGAATGTCATCGAAAATGCGGCAAACCATCATTTTATTCGCAATTTAATGCTCTATAAGATGGTATTCTTAAAAACTAATTTTCATACCGTCTGCTGGAATCTTAAACCTTTCTCTCATAGTTGATTTATGAAATTTTAGTATGGAATGCATTTAATAAAGAACTTCATTATCTATTCAAACCATTATTTGAATTTGAGTCTTGGCATTATAGAAAAAAAGCCTAACAAAAAATGTATACATACGGCTTCGATTTCTACTCGTTTAAGATCACGTGTTTGATTTGATTTATAAAGACAAATACATTTGCCTTGTGCACCAGCTCGACCTGTACGACCTGATCGATGAATATACGATTCAACATCCTAAATAACAAAATCCGTTTCTTATTAAACATAACCAAATGTACTATATATATATAATCTTACTTTTGGTGGAGCAGTTACAATAACAAGGTCAACTTCTGGAATATCAAGGCCACGAGCAGCAACATCAGTTGTAATTAACAAACGATATTTTCCTTCACGAAATTTCTAATAGAATAAAATTTTCTTACATTTCAATAGAAAACGTTTGAAAACAAACTTTAAGAACAAGTTCACGTTTATCTTGTGGAATATCACCATGAAGTACATGTGCTTCAGCTTTAATATCATGACTAACTGAAAGTTCATCAGCTTCTTTTTTTGTTTCACAAAAAACAATAGCACGTCCATCTAGACTATTACTAGAATAGATTTGAACAAGAGAACTAATAACACCAGCTCGATCTTGATAGGTACATAATACAGCTAGATGCTATTTAAAATAGAAACAATATAATTTTAAAAAAAAAGATAAGAAAATAAAACGTAAACATTTTACTTCAACATTTGCACAAGTTTTTTGTGTATTTCCTTTAACTAAATCAATTGTAATAAATTCTTTTGACATATATTTTTTAGTTTGTTTATGAACCCAATCTGGCATTGTTGCAGAAAAAACAATAAATTGTGGTTTTGTTTCACGATCTATAAAAATTTTAAAACATGTGAGTTTTTTTTTCTTCATTTCTTTCGGTAATAATTACTTGGTACAAAAATATGACCAAGAATTTCTTCAACATCATCAATAAAACCCATATCAAGCATTCGATCAACTTCATCAAGAATAACATGTTTGACTTTAGTTAAATCAAGTTTGCCTTTATCAACAATATCTTTTAATCGACCTGGTGTTGCGACAAGAATATCACATCCATTACGGATACTCTTTTCTTGATCTTCATACTTTTTTCCACCATAGATTGTTACAATTGATAGATCAGTAACAATCGATTGAAAATCATCCGAAATTTGATTAGCTAAAAAAAAAATATTTTGATTTTATATCGCTTATAATGCGAAAGTCCTAGCATAAAATATTCGCTTATTTTTTGAACACTAGAAGACAACGAGTTAGAACTAAAATGTTTCACTATTTTCGAATATATGTTGAGATCTTCCTTCTCTACTAAGATAGGACAACTATTAGCAAAGGAGAAGGGTCGATAGTTGTCAAAAATTCTTTTCCTTAAGAAATTTGATTTCTTCTATTTCAAACTACTGCTGATATAGTGTACATTATACTGTACAGTCTGCCGACAGTTTTTGTCCGATTTGAATCACATGATGAACTATTAAAAACAATCCGACGACAGTTGTCCAATCTTATCTCAGAACGAAATTCTGACAACCTATTCGGAAAGTGCCATAGGTTATTTTAATTATTATCAAGACGTACTTAATTCTCTTGTTGGTGCCAAAATAAGAACTCGAGGTGCTCGTCCACGTATTAACTTAAATGATGTATCCTTTTGAAGTAATTCAACAGTAGGAATTGAAAAAGCTAATGTTTTTCCAGTGCCTGTATATGCTTGAACTAAACAATCTTTTTGATCATAAATTTGTTTGTAACTTTCTGCTTGCACAGGAAAGAGAAAATCAACATTACGATCTAAAAATGAATTATATATATATATTATTTTTTTGTTGAAAATTTTCATATAAAAATTTTAATTTACTTTGAAGTTTCTTAATAGTTTGTTTTGAAATATTAAAATTTTTAAAATTTCCTTTTTCTTTATCAGCATCAGTTAAATGCATATTAGATATTTTACTTTTATCGCCATTTGTTGTCTCATCAGTTCCATTTTCTTGTTCATCATTAACGGTCATTTTATCTTGTTTTCTTAATTGCATTTTTTTTTCTTCTTGTCAAAAAAAACAAATAATAAATAATGGAAAATGATGAGATCTGAAAAAGAAAAGAAGATTCACCGTGCTTTTATTAATTAAAGAAAAAAAAAGGATTAGAAGAATAAAGACGACAAAAAAAACTATATTTTTGCCTAAATTTTTTTATAAATAATTATTCGCAATAAATAATATCGAAAGACTAACGTACTGAAATATAAAAAAGACACATAAGAAAAAAGAAAATTCAATCTAATTATAAATATTTTCGAATAAATTCAAATATACGTTCTTCCATAAAATAACGTTCATTAAATTTTCTTGGCATATGTCGTTCATCTGGAAATACTATTAGTTCATATGGTTTATTAGCTTTAATAAGTGCATTTACAAGACGAGCTGAATGACGAAAATGAACATTCTCATCAATTAAACCATGAATTATCATTAAATGTCCTTTCAAATTATTTACATAATACAGTACACTTGAAATTTCATATCCCTGTGGATTCTCCTCTGGTGTACCCATATATCTTTCAGTATAATGAGTATCATATCTAAACAAAATAAACACATTATTTAATAGATCCTAATAGCTGATTTCTCCTTTTTCAGCTTACCCATCCCAATGTGTAACTGGTGCACCGGCAATACCTAATTTAAAAATGTGATTTGCACGAACTAATGCCATAGCTGACATGTATCCACCATAAGACCAACCATATATACCAACACGTGTTTCATCAGTAATACCTTGTTTGATAAGATATTGTATACCATCAATTTGATCATCTAATTCTATGTGTCCCATGTCATGTCTAATAGAACTTTCAAATGCAACACCTCGATTTGAACTGCCACGATTATCTAAACATAATACAACATAACCGGATTCAACTAAACGTTGACAACGCATATCAGTTCGAAGTGACCAAGAATTTACAACACTAGAAAATGAAAAAGATCTGGATTGATTGACAAAAAAAGAATCTTTAAGCGTCATTCTTGTAGGATTAAAATGTGACAATCGATGTAGCTGCTGTACAGATATGCAATAGGTAATTAATTATCAATATACGGTTTTCATTACGTGTCACAAACGTCTGTCATGGTCTATGAGGTTCACATTTTTACTTCTACATTTCAACACTCATCTAGATCGTATTTCAGAAAAATTTGTTTTTCTCATACCGTTGAAGATGTGGTCCACCATAAACTGATACAAGTGTTGGATATGGTCTTTGATATATTTCTTGTTCATTATCTGGAGTATAGAGTGCACAATAAAGTGTATCATTATTTCTATTTAATATAGGAAATAATTTTGGTTTAACTAAATGAAATTCTTCAATTGTTCGTAATACATCTTGGTATAAATGATCTAAAGTTTTAATAATTTCTTTTTTTTTAACATCTAATATTCTTATTATTGGATATTGATCTATTGAATTCCATTGTGTTATACAATATTGATATGTTTGATTAAAACAATAAACAACATGACAACCAGATTCTTGTGTTATGCGATCTATTTTAGGTATATCATCATTATAATTAGCACTATAAAGATGAGTTTCAAGAGGTGTTTCACGATTAGCGACAAAATAAATTATTGAATTAATTTCATCAATATCAGCAATACGTTGTACAACCCAATCACCGTCTGTTAATGTTTTTATTAATTTTCCACTATCATAATCATGTAATTCTAAATGCATATAACCAGTTCGTTCACTAGCCCATATAAATTGTGTTGGAGTTTTTTTTAATGTATAAAATAAATCATGTAAATTAATCCATGTTTCACTTATTTCTTCAATTAATAGTTTTAATGGTTTTTGATGTAAAAAATCATATTGATATAATTGTAATTTAGTTTGTTGACGATTTTCAATTTGTAAAGCAAGGCTATTATCAGGAAAGAAATCGACACGTGCTACATAATAATCATTGAATCTACTTAAATCAACCCAATGTATAATCGGTTGTTGTTGATTATTTTCAATTGTAACATCAATTATACCAACAGTTACTTGAACATTAGCTTTACCAGCGAACGGGTATCGATGTTCTTCAACCTAAAATATAGAAAATAAAATAGAATTGTTTCTTTTTTCTTGTTCTTTATTTCTTTTTACATGATCAGGATCACTAGAACCTGAATGTGAAATACGAAAAACTGGTACATTTGACTCATCAACTTGAGTAAATGCAATAAAACGTGAATCATCTGACCACCAAAAACCATCATTGCGATCCATTTCTTCTTGCGCAATAAATTCTGCAAGACCATTTGTTTTATTTGGATAGTTACGAGCATCAAATGTTAATTGACGTGGTACAGCTAAAGGCATTGATGATGCAGTTGATATACAATAGAGTTCACAATCTTGAACATAAGCAACTAGTTTTCCATCAGGTGACAATTTGGGATCAAGAATAGGTGCTTGATGAGATCCATTGACTAACAGATGAAATTGTTTTTTATTATAAACATAAAGATCGCTGCCCATGGGAATAAGCATTATTGATTGAGTTTTATCTTTTGCCCATTGATAACGAGATATATAAGGTATTAACTGATGTTGACGCTAAACGGAAAAGAATAATTATTTATTTGATTTATTTCTTAAGACTTGTCGTTAGTTTCCTCTGTATCAAAAAAAACAATGTCTTTTCTGAGGGATTTTCTCTTCATTAGTTCTTACATGTTTATCGTAAAATACTATCGAAAAATAATCCTTTTAGTTAGACGAATCTTTTTCAAACAGCATGGTATAATATTACTTTGTTCTATTTTTAGGTTTCATTTGATTTGTTTTAAATACAGCGAAATCAGTATAATGATTTTGAAGCTTTTTGGAAATAGTTTTATTTGATAGAGCAAAATAACATGTCTCGGTTCTCTACATGACCTTCGTTGATGTGAAAAATTTCAAATCTAATTATCTATAAATTTTGAAAAAATAAAATTCTTTTTTTTTTTTTTTTTTGTTGTAAAACATTAAAAAGAAACACACCTACTTCACGTTGAAATTGTTCTTGAGAAAGATTATCTTCGATAGCTTCATCATTGTTTTCCATTTCAGTAAAAACAAATTCTTTATCTTTTCGAAGATCATATGCATAAAGTTTCCGTATTAATGGTGGACATGGTGAACGTATATAAGTTAATATGTTATCATCTGGACTAAAATGTATGGATTCAGCTAGATTATAACCAGGTTGTGGGATTGATGCTACATCTATGCTCGTTATTCGTCTATATGGCATCTAAAATGGATAATCATCTCTCAGATACATGTATTATTGCACAGTGATGAAACAGTAATATATATATATGTGAATCAAACTTGATTATATATAACGATAATGCTTGGTTTTTTAATGATTAAAATCCGGAAAAGAGACAAAGCAAAAAACATGATTGAAAGAAGCTTTAAAATATATCGAAAAAGAATAAATTTAATATACATGAAAATCAGTTCAATTCTTTGTTTTTTTTTAATCACGTTTTTTCTGTTGTGAATCTTGTTGAGATTGTTCATACGACGGTGGCATTTGAGGATTCTATAATAATTAATCAAATCAATACAAAAATTTCTAAGAAAAGAACAAAAGTCGTACCGGTTGTTGATTCATATGTGGAACATACATTTGACCGCCATAATTATTATTTTGATAAGCCGCTTGAGGTGGATATTGCATTGGTGCTTGATATCCATTCGGCATTTGAGGATACATATTAGAATTGTTTACTTGTGATGGAGGAGCCGATGGCATTTCAGGATATTGAGGAACAAATTCTGCTTTTGGGAGACCTGTTGGTTGTCTTTGATAGACCCCTTCATATGGTGCTTGGGCTGGTGATACGTACATATCTGTGTCTAAATTCAAACGAAAAAAAAAGCGATTTCGTTACGCCGACAGATTATCTTTTCATTTTAGTAGAACTTCTATTTAATTCTGTAGGTGTCGTTTTTTAAATAATGAATTACCAAGAGTAAATATGGAATTCAGTAATATATGAAAAGGCAAGATGTAACATATATCTATGACTTATTAGTTTAAAAACCATAGAGAGTGGAAGAGAGTGTTAAGACATGCCATTGCAACATCAGAATCAATAATTTCAAACTTATGCTTTCATCTATAAGTACCCCTCTAATACATATGCTATTTACAACTATACTTCTAAGAGTTCATCTTCGAAAGCTTCTGACAACAGAACAAAACTGTTCGGTTTTGGAAATTGCTCATCTTAGAGTGGTCGAAGTCTGAGCAGCAATAATCTACGTATTAGAATTAAAAATAATGTTAACTCTAATACGACACTTCGAATCATAATACAAAGTAACAGGCTTCATCACATAACGTCCTGAGACTTATATTTACTGAAAATTATTCTATATCATCTACCTTGTATATATATATATATTGATAAAGTTTAAGATAGTATTTTATTGACGAAATGAAAAAATATTCGAAATAGACTTTACCAGCAAAACGATTATTTGAAGCTTGTGCTGCTTGATATGATGGTGGTGGAGGTTCATATAAATTAGCTGCAACCATACCATAAGATCTAAAAATAATTCAACAATGTTATTTTAAAAGACCAAAATAAAATAATTTACGGTGGTGCTGCTTGAGTATGTCGATGAACTAAAAATTAAAACATAATAACCAGTGAAGCGTATCAGTGACATAAAAAAAAACCATGACTCACAAATCGAATTAACTTCACGTAATGCTTTACTAGCATCAATAGCACCACCCGATGAATACGTTAATTGAAACTTGACTTCGCCTTGAAATCCACCTAAACACGAAAAAAAAAACAAATGTCAATCATAACACATGTTCTTATCAATTGATTGATTGAATGATATATATATAAAGGATGAAACAATAAGAACAAAAGCGAATAGACAAGTCAAGCATGATCATCAAACAACGAATAGAAATTATATTCCTATGTATGTTTATTATTACTATTCGAGCAACAAGTGAAACTAAATTCGAAATTGATTATTATCGATATTTACAACAATTTGGTTATACGCCAAAGGTTGAGGGTCGTCGATTATTTTCTGTAATTGCTCGATCTTCATATACAGCAGCAATTCTTAAGTTTCAACGTCTTTATAAATTACCGGTAGGTTTTTTTTTGTTTCTTTTATCAATTTGCTTAACCATTAAAATTTATTTAATCGTAGGAAACAGGTCAACTTGATGAAAGAACAAAAGCTTTTATGGAAAAACCTCGATGTGGAAATCCTGATCTTGGTACTTATGATTCCATTGGGCATCCAGTTAATGTTGATCAACGTGAATCTTTATCTACGAATGTTCAAGGACGATCAGGAAAAACTAAAGTATCCGAAAGTTCTGCAATAAAAACACATATTTGGCCACAAAAGCATTTAAAATGGTTTATAGAAAAATATCCTGAACAACAAAAATATATTACAACAAAAGATCATATTCAACGTATAATAAATCAATCATTTAATGATTGGCAAAAACATTCCGGATTAACATTTGAAATGGTCAGTACAAAACAGACAGCTAATCTTAAAATAAAATTTGATTCAAAAGATCATAAGGATGGATATCCATTTGATGGACGTGGTGCAACATTAGCACATGCTTTTTATCCAACAAATGGTGCTATACATTTTGATGATGATGATTATTTTACAGATGATTATAAAGATCATGATGAATCATATACATTAAGACTTGTTGCTGCACATGAAATAGGTCATGCACTTGGTTTAGATCATTCATTTGAAAATGGTTCACTTATGTATCCTATTTATCAACAATTTGATTCAAATTATGATTTATCAAATGATGATCAACAAGCTATACAAAACTTGTATGGTAAACCAGACATAAAATCTACAACTGAACAATCGAAAACAACATTATCATCATCAACATATTCTTTGGATATATTACCAATTGATAATTGGTGTTCAGAAGAATTTCAAACTGGTTGTGAAGGTCCCGATGGTGAACTTTATTTATTTAAAGATAATCAAGTATGGAGATATCAAACAAGAAGAAAACGTTCATGGGATCCTCAACCAACATTAATTAATGAACGTTTTCCATCATTAACTGATACAACAATAACAGCTTGTGTCAAATCATCTATTGGTTATACATATTTATTTCGTGATTATCGTATGTGGCAATTAAAAACACATTGGTCTATTGATGGACCCTATATACTACATGGTAAAAATTATCCACAAAATCCACGCATTGCTTTATTACATCGAAATTCAATTTATTTCATACGTAATCATTTAGCATTTCGTTTAAATGAATTTGATCATAATAATGAATTAGAAATTCTTACTATTGATGCTATACTTAATGCATCACCAAATGATTTTATACAATCTGGTTTTACATATGCTAAACGTCATTATATATTTACAAGAGATTTTGTTTATGTTTATGATGCAACACATGGAAGTTTATTACCTGGTTATCCAAAATCTAAAGTAAATGGTTGGTTTGCATGTGAATCAACATTACAAATACCAACATCGAGAAAAAAAACGACAACAACAACAGCCATCATGCGAACATTATCAACAGAATCATATCGAAAACATGAACACGATGAAGATGAAGATGAAGATGATCATGGTTTTCATCACCATCATCATCACCATCATCATCATCATCATCATCGACCGAGACGCCCTTTTCATCATCATCATCGTTATCCTCCTCATCAATATCGTCGTCGTTGGGAGTATTAAAATAGAACATTTTTTTTTTCTTGTAAAAACTGTCTTAGCGATTGAATATATTTTGTAGAATTCGAAATAAATATCTATATAAATAAAAGTTAGATTCAAAAATATTTTAACAACGAATGATAATAAGTTGTATTTCTAATTATTGTGAGAAAATATCAACGTGTTTGTTTTTCGACACTTATTATCCTATTCGAGCTTTCTTTCCCAAAGCTCCTTATTTACCTAATTCTATTCTATTCTATACGTCTGAAGTAACTTGTTTGTCAACAATAGATGGATTTTTTTTGCGCATCATGGTTGTTCGATGCAACGAAAATCGGCTTTAATGACTCATATTATTTTTACTCATTGTTGTATGTGCTATGATGTAATTATTTTCGTTGTTTGTAAGTTACTTGTCATCAACAATACATGTCTTTAGGCACTATGATGGATGGAGAACTAAATGTACCGCAAATAAGTAGTATTTCTAATCATTGAAAACTAACTCTTTGATTACGGGATCTGTTTACATAAGGACTGAGCGTTTTTGCAGATTATAACTTTTACAAATCTATCACTTTCTTCGGCCATAGAATATTCTCTCTTTCTTATACTTTTTATAACAAAGCATCATTACATGATATTGCTGTACATGCATATCAAGTAGAAAAATTGAATAGAACATAACAACCATGAACTACTTATTAGCAAGACTTTCCTGCCTGAAAATAGCTATAATATCAAACTAAAAAAAAAAATTCGTCTCATACTTTTATTTACAGAGCAATATAATCCATTATTCATCTTGCTTCAGGAAAAATCTAATGGATTCTATACAATTCTTCGCTTCACACTCTAAGAATACATTAAATGCCACAAAAACTTAACATCACTTATTCATGTTAACTGAAAAATTATCTGTAACTATTTGTGTCAACAAAAGCGATCATAGACTATCTATGCTATTCAACTATACCATTTTATAAATATTTCACCACTTTTTATATAAAAATATTATGAGAATGATTATTATATTAAAAACTAACCGTTTGGATGTGCACCAGCAATACCAGAAATATAATTAGCACCAAATATTGGTTGTTCAACATGTAAATTTCTCATAGACATAAAAGCCACAGCAAATGAAAGTAAACTATCTCGTGGATCATCACTAAGAAAGATCATTCGATGAGTTGTTACAAATACTCTTCCTTTGTGTTTTCCACGAAATATTTCACCACATTGACGACTTGTATCATCAAATGTTAATGTTACATTTTTCGAATGATTGACAATTCTAATATGTATTTATAAAATAAGATGAATAGGATTTATTTGATAGAAAATTAGATTCACTTACTGTTCGCCTTGATAGAGTAGAAGACCGCCTTGATAATGAGCTTGATTAATTGACATTGTGTTGCTCGTATGTTAATAAATATAGATAATTCTTCAATATCAATTGATATCTTTAGAAATTTTTGCGAGTTCAAATGGTTTTTGTAATGAGTAAATAATCCAGACTTTTCTTCGGCAGCTGATGAGAAATTCTTAAACGTTACGCAAGAAACCAATAGTTTGACTCATTTTTATGTTTTCATCTTTTAATTATAATCAATTAAATTTTCCTTTATATTTATTTCTATTCAAATTAATTTGAAAAAGATGCGATATTTAAAAAATATGAACATGTTCATAAATATTCGATCGCTGTCAACAAGCGTCATCTGTTGACAGCAGCCGTGCAGTAAGAACTGAATGCTCTTCTTATTCTTTTCTGTACATTTTCATTCTCCACTGTATTTGAAATCTTTCATTTAAATTAATCAATAGGAATATTTTTCCGAAAGAAAACTTGCTTTTGATTAGTTATATCTTTTATTGCATGTAGAAAACCATATATTTCGATAAAGTTTGAGTTCTGATGTCTTATATTTAACAAAAGCACAAATAAATACGATATCAGTAGTATTAAATTTTATTGTCCTGTCCATTTGGTTTTCATTATCAGCATGACCGTCGAAATCATTAAGTATCTTTTTCTGCTTAATTACTGCGGCGTTGACATTTTCATCTCAGATTGGTCTTATCAGTTTGAGTATTCCAGTCTGGTAACAAAATACGTATCAATGTCTTTTATTCACTATTTAATTGGTGACTAATGGTATCTTAGCTAAAAGTTTGGTTATGCTTATAGACTTGTTGCTTGATAGACACCAATAGGGATCAGTTGTAGTAAATATTTGTAAACCAATCGATAGCACTTGGACTATCTGCATTGAAAACTTTTTCACAACTTTTGAAAAGCTCCACTGATTGATATATAAAGACTTACTGTAACTGGTCATCATGGATGTCTATCAGACAAGAAGTCTATGAACATAACTGAACTTGTTAGCTAACGTACCATATAGTCGTCAATGAAATGACAAATTAAAGACATCTATAATTTTTGTGAAACATGATTTAACAAGAATGTTGAAGTGTGCAGAATAGAATTTGGATCCATTTAACTCGTTGCCAGACTGTGATGGACATACTAACATACCATTAGCAAGGACTCATTATTTAAATCACTAGTTAACATGTAATTAATAACTCATTAATATTTCATTAGTCACTCATTTATAGTTAATTAGTAACTCGTTAATGACCCATTAATAAATAATTAATGAGAGGAGTGTCGAAGGATATGTCAAGAAAAGTGAACCTCTCTTCATCCGCCTCACAGACGGTCGGTAACAAACAGACATAGTAGGCAAAGTTCTCTATAACGTCATGCAACTTGTCAGATATTTCGATAGTTTAGTCTATCTTTCCATCAAGGATATCGTGTGTCACACTCTGTGTATCGAATGACAGACGAATTTAAAAAGTTTAAGAGTAGACATATTTGTGACGTTGTATGGCTTTAGCCTTTGTTCAAATAAGCTTCTCGAGAAATGAACATCGTTTGTATTTCAGGATAAGGACAAAAAGAGAACTGTGATATCCTTAACTTCTAAAGCTTTAGCATATATTTTGAAAAAAAAGTGTATGTACAACAAGAAAGTAAAATAGATTTGAAAACTGAGAGTCCACAGTGCTTATTCCAATTTAATGTTGAAATATATACCAACATACAACATAACAACAAAAAAATAGAGTCAGTCAGTTATTTAGATAGAAAAATAATGTTACACTGTAAAAGAAAAAAAAAAGAAAAGTAGAATGACGAACCAAAAATATGTTTTATATTCAAGTTTTGATGCCACAACAAGCAGATTTTTTCGATGTTTTATCTAAATCAATTCCTGCTGTACGAAAACGTTCTAAATCTTCATTGCATTGCATATCTCTATAATTAAATAAAAACAAACAACAATAACATAATTATTAATAAATATCAAACAAAGTTGTATATTCAATCTAATGATAATCTTGCATACATACCGAGCTAATTCGACAAGTGTTTCGTTTGAATTTGTACCATCTTTTGCACTCGTTTCAATAAATAATGCTTTGTATTCCTAGAACAAAAATTATCACATAGATTACACATATTAATTCTTTTTCTTTGAGAACATACTTTAGCTAATTTTAAACCTTCAGCTTTTTCAATGACACGTTTGCCTTCCGCTCGCATTTGATCTCTTAAATCAATTTTATTTGCAACAATCATGACCGATACTTTTTTTGGTGTTGCATCTGTTATTGTATTAATCCATTCTCGAACATTTAAAAACGATCGTTCATATGTTGAATCATAAACAAGTATAGCACCATCACAACGACGAAAATACGATTTTGCAATGCTACGAAATCTTTATAAGAAAAAATTGATTTAGAAAAAAGAAAAAACAAAATAATTCATCTTAAACCTTTCTTGTCCAGCTGTATCCCATAATTGAAGAGCAATACGTTTACCATCAACTTCAATTTGTTTATTTTGAAAATCAACACCCAATGTTGAATTAATATTTGCCACAAATTTTCCTTTACATAAACGCATGATTAATGTAGTTTTACCAACGGCTGCATCACCACAAAAGACAACTTTGAACATACGACTGAAAAGAAAAAACAAATGAAAAAAAAAACAATCAAACTCAACATTTACTCGAATGAAAGATCTTCCTTCGTATTGTGCTCATCATGGTGTTTTGTTGCAGGTGATCGAGGGATTGTTTGTGAATGATTAGTTGCATGTTTTGATGATGAACGTGCATTGTTCACTGGTCGCTTCGATGATCGTTGTTGAGACAATTTGTTAGGATGATTACGTTCAAGTGAAACCTATTAGAATATATAAATGAATATTTTTACTTTCTAGGCAGAATTCATTTGTTGAAGGATATGTTTATAAGAATAAAAATATTTTTGAATTTTTCTTGTTTTGAACAATATTTAGGAATTCACAATAAGAAACAGTCATATTTTATGAAGTTGTTACACTTTGACTCAAGAACTAATGTTTTTCCCTGAGATTTTCTCTTCGCTGTATTATACATTTATGTATTTAGATTCAATAAGAGTATTTAGTGCTGTTTCATGATGATTTTAAACAAATACAACATATCAAACATATACAAACGAGTTCAAGGGATTCAAGAATATATAAATATATAACAAAGAGAATAGAATCACTAAAAAGTATTTGTTTTGTCGTTGAGTACTGAATGATAAGTGTATCGATAAAAAGTATTTTTGCGAAAAGAATTAAAAATATTTTAATATTGATTCTCACAATATATCAGTCAGACATGAATAACTCTAATAGATTAGACACCAAATCTGAGTATTTCTTTCTAAGAATTTGCAAGAGAAAATATTAAAAGTATATACGTCTTTTGTACCTCAACAAAAACATCGTCTGAATCTGTAGCATCTTTATTTGGTTTAGTAATTAATGATCGATGTTGTTTTATATTCAGTGTTGGTGTTTGTTGATTCGGGTTTGATTCATGATCGGAATCAAGTTCAGTTGCATCCTGCACTGTTGTTAATGATAATCCACTATCTATATCAAATAAAAAAAAATAGGAATATGAACACATTTTTCACAGATTCTATTAGACCACAGCTTATATTAAAACCGATTATATAGAAAAGCTCGTTAGGTTTTTAATAATTAAAAAAAAACACTTATTGATTTGTTATACATGTTAGAATCATGATCACATGCAAACAAACCATTCATAGTATTTTTTTCATGCACAGTATTGCGAAGAGTAGCACCTGATGCCAATGGTACTACTAGTTTTGGTGAGTTATTAACACCTAGTTTTTCAATAGAAAGGGATCCATTAAGAAATATTCGAAAATCACATAATTAGATAGAATTAGCAGCAGAAAATATATGACACTTCAGTACTTTATTCTTGAATAATCTAAGAGATGATTAATCAGTTTAAAATAATCCAAATAATCAATTTAATTTGACATTTTCATTATCTGGTGAAAAAAAGACCCTCCGTTTCGATTATCGTGGAAGTCTAGAGTCGTCTAACAAAGAATCGAAATCTCTTCATCATGATGGAGAGTGTATCTGTTTTTTTTTTTCTTCATATTTAATGCAACATTTAAATGATTCAAAATGGATTATATGATTTTCTAATACTCCTATACCAAGTATACCTTTTTCATCAGCTGATTCATGATCAAATGAATCGAATTTAGTTGGATTTGGATTCGTTACATACGATGGTGATGGGCTATATAAAATAATCAATATGAACACATTTTTTTTCAAAAAAAAATCAAATTAAGTACCTGTCCAGCTTTGAATCATTCCAATAAGCACCTAGAGTTGAACCAGTTGTAGAAAACAATCGTCTTGGGGATAAAGCAAGCTAATCATAGATTGGAATATATTTTAGAATTTTAGTTTTCTGCTTACTTACATGTGTAGGTGTAGGTATAGCATTTAATTTATTGGCTTCAATCATTGCACGCAACGAATCATTTTCATCACGAAGCTGTTTATTAACTTCTCTATTAAAATAGAAAATATGTGCCATTAAATATTCTTTTGTTTGATTACGTACACCAGATGACGAACATTCGTTTGTAGGGATTCTTTTTCTCGATAATTACTTGATGATGATTGTTTTTCTCTTAAATAAAATAAACTGATTCAACTATATATTTTCTTTATTCATACTGTAAGAGCATTGTTTGTCTTTCGCTTAATTGAGCTTTGAATGATTGTAAATCACTTTGTAATATAGCATTAGTTGTTAAGGCTTCATTCAAAGATGTATTTAGTGTTTGATTTTCTTCTGTTAATTTTGCTATTTCTTCACGTATTGAATTTATTAAAGAATCTTCGTCACCTTTACGATTAATATAAAGTTGTTCAATCTAATTTCATTAAATAAAAAACAAGAGAATCATTAGTTGTAAAAAAAAAAACATTTATATACAGTCCGTAATCGTTGAATATGTGATTGTAAATCATTGATTTCTTTTGATGTACGTTGTTGAATTAATTCACGTTCAATTTCAAATTTTTGCCGTTCCTTAGATGTGAACAAAGAGATTCTGTAAAATTTCAAAATCAGTTTTTTTTTCATTTACTTCTCTTCGAGTTTTTTCTTCTAACTCATGCATATCTCGTTCTTGATCTTCTTCAATACGTCTTAAATATTTTTCATTTGTCTCTTTTTCACTAAACAAACAAATAAAAAAATGAATTTGAAACAAAAATCATTGTATGACTTTTATTTAAATACCGTTTAAATGAATCTTCTAATCGTTTTATTTCTTTACGATATTTAAGAATATCACAAACAAATACTTCAAGAATTGATTGAAATTGTTCAATTGAACCATTCGAACTATTTCGAAGTGTTTCATAAAAATCATAGATTTGTTCTTGACTATTAAAGAAAAATATAATATTTTTTCAATGCCTACTCATTTTTCATGCTTCGAACATAATATTGTATCATCAATTTTATTCTTTAATCTGGTTTTTAAAACATCAAATGAATACCTAACGAATAAAACTTTTGTTTTATGCCTACCAAATAATTCTCATTTCCGTTGGGACAAAACAACTCTTTTTAAAGAATTTATAATGTGTGTTTTTTGTATTAAAAACTTAGTCTTACATACTTCGAAAATACAAAATCATCAGAGCCTTTATTATTGAGTGTGTCCATTGTATGGTTTTCACTCAACCGATGGTTTGATATCAATCTTTGCACAATTTGTATTGAAAATAAAATAACCAGAACCGTTTGTCACTGTCGTTGTCGATATAGTTATTTTCATTATACTCGCTTTTCTCTTCGTTCTCTTTTTTTTCTCCTCGTCTTTCTTTCAACTATATGCACAATCCTGTACATAAATATATTTATCAAAACAACGAAACGCTTCTACAACTAAGAACAGTGATGTGACTTTTTTCTTTACGCTTATAGGTATGGAGGGCAAGCATTTAGCAGTATGTGTAGGCAAAAAAAGAACGAAAAAAAACAGTTATCAATATAGTGTAGGTGTCGATCGACTTCATATTATTCATCAACTTCGTCTATAAGAATAAATGTCTAACTTTAGATTTTCATTGAAACGTTTTTCAATAAAAAATATCCTAATAAACCTATTCTATCATCTTTATCATACCATGAAAGATTATTGAATACTTCATTGATTTGAGTCTGTGTCATATTTTCTGCTGTATTATATTGATTAATAATTACATCATGTTTAAGTAATGTATGAGAATAATTATATGATTGCATCTGTTCTTTGAAGTAGATAGGTGTGTTATAATCTTTATCAAAATCATTAAATACTGTATCAATTTCTACTAGTGATAAATGAGAACAAATGTGTTGAAATTTATCTTTATGAATGTAACCATTACCATTCGAATCAACTATTTGAATAACGGCATTTATAGGATTATTATCGCCTGCTATTACGTACACAGATCACATTAGTATGAATAACAGTTTTATACTATAACATTACTGTTTTCGATTTTTTTTCTGGTTAATGTCAGCGACAGGTCGCAAGGGTTGCGTCAGATGGATTTTGTATTCCGTGAAAAGAAAAACATCAATAACCAAGGTATATATAAATATCGCTTATTGGTATTTATGATTGACGACCATGAAAAGGACAAAGTGACACTTTTTTTCCATTCGATTTCGATCATATTCAATACTAAATCAACAACATCTCAGTGTAAAAAAAAACAGATTTAGTGTTAAATCAAACTTGATTATGAATGAGAGTAAGAAAAAAAAAGTTTAATCTTGGCAAGTATCGTAGAATATCAGGCATTGCACTTAATTCATTTAGTATTAAAATTTATCTTCAGTTACATAAATGGAAAAAATAGATTGATGACGTATATTTATCAAATGTTCGTAACAGAGGCTTTATCATAAACTCTATTCAATAAAAAATTCAAATGTCAATCAGCGTAAACTACAAATGCAGTTGCAATAGCAACCATATCATAACCTAATTTAGTTTGTGCTGTTACTGATCCATCAGTATCCCGATTCCATAAACATCTTGATACAACTGCCAAGGACTGATGTATCTGTCTATTAGGTGCCGTTTGTATAATTGAGATAAGTACAACAATTTTATATCGTGCATAATTAAGATGATCTACTTTTAAAACTCGACGTAATTGTTGAGCTAATTCATGAGCAAGATCACTGGATACTTTCGAATCATATCGAACATTTCTTGGTATTTTAGCACAACGACGAGTAAGTTCTAATTGAAGAAGTTTTTGTGCACGTGAAAAATCGAATTTTTTTATCGGACCAAAAGCGTAAGTTGATACGCGAGGACTTTGATTAATAATAGCCGTGTCAGAAGCTACACTGCTTGATAAACGCGGATTTTTATTTGCTGATGGTACAGTTAAAGTTGAAGATAATTGTTGTTCATTTGATGGTGTCGTTAAATTGAAAACTTTTTGAAGTATATTACGCGTTGCCAATCGTTTTATATCCATTGCCATTATTGTTTCTTATGTTTTGTCGATGTTTTTTAGAAAAACGCGCCTTTAAGTATTGATTGTAAATCATAATTCTTCTTTTAGTAAAATTGAACATGCAAGAAACAAAACGACTACACATATGAGTTTGTCAATTACTCTTATTTCTTCTTATTGCGCTAACGCTCTTTTACTTCACATGAAATCTGACAACTCGAACGCATTTTTTTTCTTTTTCTTTTCTTCTTCTATGCTCAACCATTGTCGTTATGCAGAATTGTCTCAACAACAGAAAAGTAGAACAAGAAAGAGAGAAAGAGTTTAATATATACAAAGATAAAAGAAAAAAAAAGTGAGTGCGCGCTTGAAAGAAACTAAATGGTTGACTAGTAGAACTCGAACGTCAGCATACAACATCAATGTAAAAGAAAAGTAATCTTAGATAACAACCCGACTATAGTGTATGTATCACGGAATTCCTTAACAACGAGACATTCTTTTCCTCTCCTATCACTGCAGAGAAAATTCTATTCAAATGACATCACCACACCAACAATCCCAAGTTCCGGAAGTAGAAACAATAAATATGGCTGCATCAACTGAAACTGATTGGCAACAACGTTATGAACAATTACAATTCGAGCATCAGCTTGAACTAGAACGTATTCGTCTGCACTATGATCATGAACTTAAAGAAAAACTAATTGGTAAATAACATAGAAAAGAAAACAACTACATAATTTGACAAACAAAAAAAAAAATTTCTTTATTTAATAGAAATTCGTATGCGTTTAAAACAAGAATATGACCGTTATTTTGCTGAATTTCGAGCACGTCTATTAGAACAACAACAACAACTTTTTAATGTTAGTTCGAGTAGTTTGTATCTTGATCCAAATATAGGTGAACAAGTACGTGAACAAGTTTATATTGCTGAAGAATATGACCGTTACGAAGATGAACGACGTCAACAATTACTATCGCAACAATCAACTGATAACGATGAAATTCAACTAGTCAATAAATTACATACCGAAGGTAAGCATAGTATATATTTATATTTTATAAAACGAAAAAGAAAAAAGAAGTTCATACTTTTAAATTTCAATTGGAATACTTAAAAATGTTGTTCTTAATTCATTGACAATACAAAAGAAAACATAAATGCTATTCTCAAGAGTTATTCTTTTTTATTCGATAAATAAAAAGAATAAATAGACAGAATTATATGGTTTTTATTCTTCAATGAATCTATTAGAAAATGTACTAATCGAATATTTTGTTTATCATCTATAAAAATCTGTTTTTTTTTTTCAAATAGCATAAGAAATACTTTGTTAATATCGCTCTGTAGAATTTCTGTAACAAACATGATCAAATAAAATTTCAGAAATAACATTCGACACATTTGCAACCGACATATGGAATCAATTGTTATCTATAAAATGAGGCATATCTCGATTAAGCGATATGTTTCGTAGTTGTCGCCAATAAGGCTTTCATTACCCATAAGTTATGTCCGCCTATATCATAGCCATAAGTTTTATGGGTTATTTCAAATAATAATTGTTCTATTGATGCTTGTTACAACTCGCATCCTGCTGTATTAAGCTTTCAAATTGCTGAAGGAATAACATTGCCAAAAATAACATCGACACACAAAATAGCTCGTGAAATTAAAAAAATTTAGAAATTGTTGTAATCATTAGAACCAAAAGTAAGGTCGTTAGATGACACATAATCAGATGTATCAGGCTTATCGCCACGTAAACATTAGGTTATGCTTTGTTTGTCTTGGTTTTTCATATTAATTTCGTCTTTTGCTTATTGAAAAGATGACTTGCCCATATTAGAATACACTCTAAATGTAAGATATGATATATATATATATATATTCTAGCAATATTAGCTTCAGTCTTCATCTATATCCTACATAAATATTATTTTGGGATAGCTGATAAAAGTTCATCCTATTTTCGGCATTGACGAAATTCATTTTTGAATTCAATGAAATCTTTATGTAATATTTCAATTTTTCATACTTTCATATAATGATAAACTAATCTTATCTACGTTCATTGAAAACAACTTCTGTTCGCTACAAAAAGAAATATTACAGTTAATTAGTAAAATATCGGTAGTATAGAATTGAAATTAGATATTGGAAAAGAATAATGACTGCGCCTGTTGTATCTTCATTTCGATTTTTTTCATTCAAAGAACAATTTTTATTGTGTTTCTTTTCAATGAGTTCTTTTCTTGACCTTCTATGAAGCAACATCTGTTCTATTTAGTGTGTTATTATAACCGCTATATAATTTTACAGTTCAGATTTACACTTAAACTCTAACACTTTTTGTTATTTGGATTACTTCAGTTAGTAAATTATGCATCTTGTTGAAATTATCCCAATATCGAATTCAGTAGTTTTTTATTTTTCATCTAGGACGAAACTAATCAATGGTGAAAAAGTCTTAGCATAATATATACACTCATGTTTCGATCAGTTGAAGCCAGAACCAGTTATTTAGATTCATCCTATTTCGCTCTTTCTGAATACATCTTCAGAATTTTCTTTTAGAATAAGATTGAATCATTATCATTAGATTGTTTCAAAAGGTCTAACATAGTGCTCGTACAAAATACTACTTTGACCAATTTTCTGTTGCAATTGAAATCTATCAAATTCAAAATGCGAAACAAATTTGTCTACAAAGCCTATTATTTACTTTTGCATGAAAGGGTCGAAAAATTAGCAAAAATTTTACGTCAAGTAGGGTCCAAATAGATCGAAGCTTTGAAACCCAGATCCGAGGACCAACCTGAAAAGCTCTAATACCAAGTTATTTGAACTATAGGTTAATTAAAAGTTTTATCTTCTTGATTTAGGTGTTTATGTATTAACATTAAGTGAACTTTTGTCATTACAATTAAATGGTGTAGATATTGGTACAACAAATGAATCGATAGGTTCAATACAAAAGTTACATGAAGAAAATTCTTATCTTCGTTCATTAATTGCAAATATAAATGCTAATGAAAATGGTAATACATTAATAAAATGTCTTGCTGATATATTTCGATGTGAACAAGAACGTCATTTAATAGATATACGTAAGCATAAAAATGTTGATAAATTAGAACACGATATTCAGAATATGTGTGATTATCAACGTAATGCATTAGGAAAATTATTATCACAAGATCGTCTATCATTAATTAATGAACTTGAACAAACAAAAGAACAATTACATTATTTAAAAGATAAATTTGAACAATTAAAACAAAATCAAGATCAATCAAAAATAATTAATTTTCGTCATTTAAATAAATTTTATTTTAAATATTTACGTTGTGAAGCTTATCGAAAAGCATTAATTTATCAAAAACGTTATTTACTTATTTTATTAACTGGTTATGAAGATACAGAAATGTTTGCATTAAAACAAATACAACGTTTAACTGGAAATATGAAATCAAATTCTTCTAATATTAATCAAATAAAATTAATATCTAAACAAAATTATCGTCGACGTTCATCAAATTATCGTTTTCGCTTTCGATGTTATATTACAGTTGTTATTGGTATGATTCGAATGCGTTGGCTTGTAAAAAAATGGGCACAAAAATTAGCAACTATATAGTGAATCTTTTTCTTTTCTTTTTGTGTATTTTTTGTTTTTTGTTTTTTCTTTTGGTAAATTTTATCAATATAAATCTATAGATGTTAATTGTAGAAAGATAGAAACAAAATATAAAATTTCTTCATCAAGCATCTAAATCGAGCAATGTAATATTATCTGACCATGAACTGAATGTTATTATGTCTGATAATGATTGATATTTCTATGTTTTATGTTGTTACAATACAGCTATTCTTATTTGTGCCTAACATTGAAGGTTAGATTAATGCCTCAAAAAAAATACATTTTGCGGATTCTATCTCGACCATTGAAAAATGATTTTAACAATGATAATACACATGCATATGAGATATCATGAAAAAGCCGCATGAATTTCTTTTTTCTCCTTCTCTCTCATTGATTAGAGAAAAATAAATAATTTCGATAAGAAATGTACTATCATTTGTTCTGCACACTCGACATTTATCAATTCATTTTTAACATCAACGATTACTATATATAGATTACAGTTTCTATACGTTCTTGCCACTTATTTCAAATTTGTTCTTTCTTTCCATTATGGCTCGTCTTATTTTTCAATTGTTGGCTATACAATTAATTTTAGTTGCAACATCGTTTGGTCTTTTTCAAACAGGATCAAAAATTAAAGAAGGCACTAAATATCAACTTCAACAAAAAGTTTTAACACTTGGTACATCGTATACAATCAAAGATAATCGTGATCAACCAGTTTATAAGGTATTTTTTATTTTATTTTATTATTAATACAATCTATATAAATATCATTTTAGGTGGGATTCAAACAACTCGGTGTAGGAAAACATCTTCAACTTACTGATCCTAGTGGTCAAAATGAATTTTATTCTAGTAAGATATTATGAATTTACGTTTTATTATTACTTTATTTATTTCATTAAGTCAAACATATTATCAATCCATTTGGCTTAGCAAAATATGAAATTCGTCAAAATAATCAAGTAATTGCTGAGGTTAAGTAAGTATTTCTTAATTTAAATATGTAATAATAAAAATAAATTTTTAGTCGCAAATTTAATTTTCTTGGTGGTAAAAAATTTTCAGTTAATTCCAAACATGGTACATATAGAATTGAAGGCAATTTTCGTTCACGTGAATTTAAAATTAAAAAAGATCATGCTGTTGTTGCCACTATTTCAAAGAAATTCTTTGCAATTGGTGATAAATATGGTGTTAAAGTTGAAAAAGGTCAAGATGTACCATTTATTTTATGCTTAGCTATTGTTGTTGATGAAGTAGCTCATGATTAAAAATTATGTCTTTTTCGTTTTTTTCAATGGACTATTTCTTTCTTTTTCGTTTACTTTTCTTTTTTGTAGTGTAATCTTTTTTTTCTTAAATGATCATCAATACATATAAAATAATTCGTGGCATTAAATAAAATTGAAAATCTTCTTAAAAATATAAAGCTTTAATTGACATTATCTAAAATAGAAATACTTTTATAATGAACCAGAAATCTTAGCGACATATTTTTTGGTTTATGACTCATTGTATCGTTGCACATTTATATAAACAGGTAGGTTAAAAAAGCCTTACTCCTTTTTGTGTTAGATTGGCAGATGCATAACTTATAAAGAGCATGACAGTCCTCCGCTTCTAAAGCATTGGCAGAATTGAGCAGAGTTTTATTCGATTCGTTTTCAGTTTCTGTTCTGAAATTCGTATACAAGGTGTCTCTTTTGATTAGAACCCAACCAATTAGTACCTACTTGTCTCTAATGCTTAGTTACGCTTCTATAGATAGTGGTTAGGAGAACCTACTTGGCAGACATATATTTTGTTGTGAAATACATTTCTTCATAACCGGAGACCAAACACGAAAATCCATTAAATACGAAACTTATAAGGGAGTGGTATACTCGCATCGGCAAACGAGAAAAGCTCTTATTAGCAGTTACATTTCAGTTGAAATTTGGTTTAATCCTAGAGTTAATGGCATATTCGTTATGGAAAAAAAACTTTGATCTAAAAAGGAATCGCGTTCTTTTTTTAAAGATTTTTTTGTTTTGATATAATCATTTAACTTTGATGCTAACTACTGTTCTGTTTTTATTATAAAAGAAAAATTTCTCAATAATTTAGACATATATTTCTAGCTGTTGAAATATTCTATCTACGGTAGAGTTCATTGAGTCCAAAATTTTCGGAATTGATTATGGCACAGATCAAGCCGATGGACTTCAGTCTGCAGCACACAAGGTGTCTCAAAACTCCATGTAGAAAGTTTATGTAAAAAAACACTTAAATCGTTTAAGCGATTTAGTTAATGTTTTTTTGGTAAGATGATAGTTTATTCTTGTAATTTTTATTTCATATAATTTTATTTACAACAAATAATGAAAATGATTATCTTGCATCGAAATACATAAATCCCTTCTTTTCGAAATCTTTTAAAAAAATGTTACAGAAACTTGGTTTCGAATTAATTTGTTTCTGTTATCGGTTCTTATTTCGAATTCCAACAAATGTTTATTTATATCTGACACACATAAATATCCAATTTATATTTATCGTTAAACCGTTTAAATGGTAATAAATTTCGTCCAAAATAAAAATAATGAAATCAAACTCTATTATTATGGCACATCCTTTATGCATAAAACGATGAAATATTGCTTTTGTACGAATATTTTAATCATAGTAATAATTTAGTCAGTATTCTAAATGATTCATATGGATGCTTAAACTGTGAACGTTAAGAAACAGAACTTGAAAACTAAAGATGATATAACTGTTTCATTATTGAATTATTACAAAAAAAACGAAATCTATCGAATATGATTTCGTTCCGAAATGGATTTCAAACCCAATGAATTTGCTTTTAGCTTCCACGTATGATGAAATATATTCAAAATAAAAATCATTCTTTTTAGTAGTTATAACTGTAGAAATTTACGTTTCATAAGAGGATCAATTATTTTTTTGATCATCCTATAGAAAGATGTGTAATATGGTCTATTAGTAATCGTGTTTTACAGAATGTCATTAGTCAAGAAATTCATTATAATAGCAACTAATTCATATAAGAAAGGCTTTAAACTACAGTCTGAAATAGATTTGGCCTAAAATTTGGTTTTCTACTATTATGAACTAAAGCACAAATTGCATCTATAACTGTTTGAAGAGTTGAAAACCGAAATCATATAAAATAGTTCAATGTTTTTCTCAGTCTCAAAATCTTAGTGATACATAAGAACAGTAATCATGAGCAGATAAAATATACCCTACTTCGACTTACAGTTCGATACTTATGAGGAAATTATCTATTTTCTGTTATTTGGAAAAACCAAGATATAAATCATTATTGTCAAATTTCGCTACACAATAGTTCAGTATTCCATACTATTTTTTTTTACTTAGCACAGCGCATTAAATCTCTATCAATCAATTAAGAACTATATCGTTTATTAACATAAAAGATTTACAATAACAATTTTTCATTAAATGTTATATTTTTTACTCAATCTTATGATAAGTTTGAAAATCGCAAAAGAAAATATTATGAATTAGATTCTTTAGTAATTAAGATATTTCTATTCATTTGGGTATGACGAAAATCAGAAAGAAAAATTCTTATTTTTTTTTCTTCTATATTCACCAGTCATATTAGACATTGCCTAACCTTTTCTTCGATTTGGTTTTTTTGAATCAACAGTTACAAAAAGTATTTGGATTTCATACAAAGAGATAATCATCTGACGACAATAGTAACAAGAAAAAGAAAAAAAAATCACAATAGACAAAAAAATACAGAGTTTATGTTTTAGCAACTGGTAATGGATCTGCTCGAATTCTAGAAAAGTCAATAGTTTTATCAAGATCTTCATCAAGTTCACCAATTAATGCAACGTTATCACCCCGAATTATATAAAGACCAAGAAGAACCTGTTCAACACCATCTGTAGATGAAAAAACACGTTCATGACTATCATCTAAAATAATATTTATTGCTTGATCAAATCCACGTAATGTTCCAATTATGATTCGACCATCAGCTGTAACTACATTCACTGATTTATTAATATAAGCATCGAGCACTTGTGCCATTTATCTAGTATTATTATCGTTTAATATATTCAATCTGAAATAAAATATATTGTTAAATTAAATAAAAATGTCATATTTAATATATCATCTTGTTTATCAATGAATAATTATAATCGATCAGTTTGTATAAACTATAGTTAACCAATAATAAACATTCATGTCATCTATAGTAATTAAACAAAGAAATTAATTTTAAAAACTTTAAAATTTTGTATTTGTGACATGGATTTTTTTTCCTAAGTAATTAGAATATATAATTAGTTAAGAGAGGTCGCTAGATAATCGAGTCATTTTGAAATTTCATTTTTCTATTACCGATTGAAAATGATTGTGCATCGAACAACAAGTAGTAGAATAAGAGTAGATTATGATTTCTGTTTTTATATTTAAACATTATGTTGTATAAATTCTTAATAGAAGATAAGTTCGTATCTTTCAAAAGTAGAAAACCAATATTCTTTTAATTCAATGGTTATTTCATCATTCTATTTCCTGATGTTTGAAAGAATTTGTCATTAAGAAAATACAATACGTGTTTCATAATGTGATGTAAGATTCAAGAAATCAATCATTTTAGCTAGAATAGAATTTTAGAAGTCCACGACGAAGAATCCTACTGAATTCAATGAATATCTTATACAATCCGACAACTTTCGATAGGAAGTTGTGGGTGTAGGTATCGATATCGGCCTTTCGGACGGTAGTACCCACATAGAGGCTCGGTTCGGTTAGCTTTCCTTTACTCTTTTGCGTCTTGTCTATCAAACTTTCGAGCTGTTGTCTGGAAACTGTCTGCTAAGTGTTGTAAGGCGGCTTTTCTCAGTTACCTTCTGCCAGACAGATTGCCTACGACTGTTTATCAAATTTTTAACCCATTTCACTTCGAAAAAATATCGAGTACATCGACACCTACATCCAATTTTTCACCCAAATCTACACCCTACACTCAATCCCACATCAACAAGCATAAATTAATTTTCTAAGCAAACATAATTATTATCAAATACTAAATTTTATACAGAAAATTTGTATATAACACTGAGCAACAAGTTTTACTGGGCGTTTAATTTGTTCTCATGAGAAAGTAATGTGTATATATTAAAGTCGGCAGAATATCGGAGGGTAACAACAACAAACAATATGATCGCAATATATGAAATATGCAGTTTAATAATGAACAAAACGCTTTTATTTTTGGGCCAGCTATTCGTTCTGGATTTACAGAAATATATCAGGCTGCATACACAACGATCGCATAATTCGCAGCTTATATACTTGATATTGCTGAGACTCAGAGTACACCTGATCGCGTTTATTCAACTAGAAAGGCTCTTTTCTAAAGCCGTCATACATCAGCAATTTTGTTAGCTTAAATTCTCTCACATTCAATTTTATAGCTTCATAAAATATGACAGTTTCACAAATGCATATAACTTTATTGCATCATGTACAATAAATAAATTTTATCATACAACTCAACTTGAAACAATAAAGATAAGATTTTGTATATTGTTTTTGATCTGCCATAATATTTGTCCCTAAATCATTCCTAAAGTTATATATAATTAAATACCTAACAAAAACCTAGCCATGAAAATAAAAACATTAATATTGTAATAGAAAGAACGATTCTGAAAATAGAAACAATTAGAAAAATATGGAAAGCTTTTTTGCCTTTCGTTTTCTTGTTGCTTGATGATCCAAAGTTTTGTTTGCCACTGTCCATTTCCCTAAATTACTGTTTTGAAAAATGTTCATATTTTTTCTATCGATTTGTCGTATCACATCTGATTCGGTTGAAAACTATTTTGCAACTTTTAGCTTATTTCTGAATTTTACCGAGGATATAACTTTAAGTAGTTACAAAGAAGAGAAAAGAAGCTAATTGTCTTCGTATTCCTATTTTTCTCCTACATACGTAATCTAGCTTTTTTTAAAATAAGTTTTTAGTGTTACCATGAGTAAAAACAAATAATGCGTCTTTCGCACATATGACGATAACAAAACTACCTGATTGTCTTGACGAGACACAAGATTTTTTAGGCAGAAGATAAGATCATTATTTTGCTTCAGAAAACATCTGACAGAAATTTTTTGTGAAATTGTGATCGAAATCATAAATCTTGATTCGATGATTAAGAAACAATGTGTCCTACTTGCATCTGCGAGGTCTTTCTTTATTACATATTCTAAACTCTTTCAGTGAAATTTATAATCTTTTTGACGAAAACACCAATAAAATGAATAAGATTTTGTTTATTGCCTATTAAATCTTTTATATTTTCCAGGTTCTACAAGGGTTATTTTATACTACTCGTGTTAACTACACTGAACGTTATCTCGAATACTCATGAATTCAGAAAAAAAAAGATATGATTTATGATCTTTTATGTATCTTTTGAAAAGATTTGCAGTATAAAAACAGCTTACCTCTAACGAAACGAATAATAAAGTCGAAAAGCAACACTATAGTGAGCGCACAAACCAGCTAATCTATTGATATTCACATCTGCAATTCAATTTAATTTTGCAATAACCATGCGAACTTTTTTTGTCGTAGTTGCTTTAACAATTTTGGCTGGATATGGATACGCTCAAGATTTACCTACACCAGGTATCTGTGGTGTTTCACTAATTGAACCAAAACCTGCAACACGTATTGTTAATGGTCAATCAGCAATTCCACATTCTCGACCTTATCAACTTTTATTAGTTGGTTACTTTCCAAATGGAACAGCAAAAGCTTATTGTGGTGCCAGTCTTATTAAACCAACACATGTACTTACAGCTGCTCATTGTGTTGCTGGTTATGACGCAAAAGATCTTCGTATCTTTCCTGGTCTTCATAATTTCACTTCGTTTGTTTTTAATCGAGACAATGGTATTCCAGCTCAAAGACATATTGCACATGAATCTTATAATGCTAATAGTCTATCAAATGATGTTGCTATCATTCGTTTACAAACAGCAGTTGTAGTTGATAATCATAAGATTGGCCTTGTCTGTCTACCTGATAGTACATCTCAAACATGTGGAGTCAATCATCCTGTTGTTGGTAAGAACCCCTATCTTTTTGTAATGACTTTTAAAAATGAATTTCTAATGGTATTGTTTTTTTTTCTAGCTAGTGGTTGGGGTTCAACAACCGGTAATCCAAATCGAACAAGTGCTAGTCGACCAGTCGAATTGCAACAAGTTGCTCTCAAATGTGTTGATGCTAAAAGTACAGATTGTAAAAAGCTAACGCACATTCTTTCCATCATTCAAGACAAATCTAAAATGTGTGCTTATGGGGACTGGAAATCAGTTTGTAAGTATATGATGATTGATTGTTTACAATATTTAATTTTATATAAAAGGCTTTGGTGATAGTGGTGGTCCACTTGTACGAGAAAAATATCTTAATGATGGAAGAAGATATGTTGAACAAGTAGGTATTATGTCTGGCACAATTGATTGTTCATTCTCAAAACCACATCCAGATGTTTATGCTGATGTTCATTATCTTATGCCATGGATTCGTAACAAGGTCCAAGCATTACCATAAATAATGACTACCATCAACGACTTTTGAAAAGCGTTCAATATGTATTTTAAACTATCTTTTAAATAAAAATGCATATTCATCAATGAATTTCAAAAATTTTGATCATATGTGTAATATAGTTTGTTCATGATGATTATCTAACTGGTTATTGTAAAAAGGGAGAAAGTGTTTTATATCCATGCATGATTACATTTTGGAATGTATCGTTTCGTTTTTCACATGATGTCAATAGCGCTTTGATGTTGTTGTAATTGAAAAAACGTGTCAAACTCTTTGAGATAGTAAATTATTTATATTCTAAAAGAAATATAAATTTCTGGTTGATCTGTATTGGTCAAGTTCAACTGATCATTATGTCTGTACCATCAGTTGGGTAGATTTTGATGATAACAAGAAAAATGAATGTATCTTTCCACGTACTAACTACCGAAAAACTGTTGTCGAGTTTTTTTGAAGTGTTGAATCAAAACCGGTGAATATTTTTGATGTCTGATAAAACGAATAGGATTGAGTCCTTTTCGATGCATACTGATAATGTTGAATCATCTGAGTCACCTGTACTGGAGACCGAAATGGAGCAAATATTTTGTTCTCCGCTCTGTGCTGGTCTTATCTTAATTTTTTTCTTTACTACCTCTTTACATCTTTTTAAGATGTTTGTATCTTTTGATTATATAATTTATTTGACGATATATTATAGAAAATAAATACAACAGTACAAAAAATAGGCATAGGAGCACAAAACCGATATAGTTCGAGGACCACCAATCTTTTACTTATTCTTTATCGAACGATGAAATAAAATATTTCGAACAGTTGTTCGACCTAATTTAGATCTTCTTTAGTTGATAACTTTATAGACTGTCGAAAACTCTTTTTTGACGACAGCAGCTGAACTCCATGGTATTGAGTATATGCGACATGCTAACTAACCTCATCCCGTCTCGCTTCCCACCCACAAAAAGTCAACCTTAGTTATGAGATCAATTTTTATTATAGATGGCACTTACTGTGTAACAAGCGCAAAAAATAAGATTAATCCTTCTCTCTCCTGACGGAATAGAAGCCCACCCAGAAGAAAAATATCACAATTCGTAATAGAAGACCATAAGTCTGCGTGAAATACTTGTTTTTCCATAATTAAATTATTTATTAAAATAATATGTATTATTAGCAATAGTATTCCAGACAATTTATTTCATGTATATGCAACGATGTCGAACATTTGAATGCATTTAAATAAGACTTTTTTGGATAGTTTTTGTTTTCTCAATTATATCTTGATTAGTCTACATTGAAGAATACATCGAGAGACCAATGGTCAATGTTGTACTGCATGAAAGAGATTCAATCAAGATTGATTCAGAATAAAAACTTTTAACTATCTATTAACTTCATGTGAACATTTTAAAAAGCATTTTAACATCTAATAAAGAATAACTTGGGAAATGGATGAATTGATGAAAATCGTAGATATTAGTAAATATGAAAGAGAACAAGATAATCAAAATAATTATGTTTGATATTACTTATAGATCCGTACGATTTTGATAACGGTAATATTTTTCGTTTTTCAAGCAGTTTTTGATTGACTAAATCTGCTCAAGCACTAGAATTGCATTCCAAAGAAAGTAGCTCAAACGTGTCACTTGTGTTTTTCCTACATCTATTGATTATAAAGACATTTTTTGAAACCAAGAAGAACAAAAAAAATGTCACTGTTATTAAAACCGTACGATTTTTTTTACCGCATTTCTATATAATACTCGTGTGATCGTTTTATGTAAAGTCGTTTTTAATTGGATCCATAAATCTTCAAAGTTCAAACGTTTCTTTTTTTTTACGATTTACTTCAGATTCAATTATTTATTTCATATTATAAATCTTTTACATATTTTATGGCAATAACAAATTTATTTTAATCTTTACGATTGATCTTTTGATATCTTAAAAAACAATATCAAAATAAGAAAAGAAAGAAACTCTTTGTTAATCATCACTGTTTTCATTACGCCGTAATTTTTGATAAATGCTATCAAATTTTTTCATAAATATTTCAATATCATTTTCTTCAATACCAATAGCAGCTGCAACAGTTAAGTAGCAATATTGAATATTTGATGAATGTGCACCATAATTCATAAATTCATAGGAATCAATAGTTTGTTTTGTTCCTAATTTAACAACACGTGCACCTGATATTCGTCGTGTAAATAACATTGAACCAAGTTCAGTTAAACGTTCATTTGGTAAATGTTTAAGTGATATAGCTATTGATATAGGACTAAATTGTTTTGATGAAAGTATACATTCATCATTATCTTTTGTCCATTGAAGAAGTTTTTCATAGAAAACGTTAAATAAAGTTTTACGTTTTTGTATTAAATCAACTAAACCTTTTTTACCCATTGATAAAAGTGTAATAAATAAATCAATTGTTGGATTTATTGATGCACGACCTGGATAAATATGTGAAAGATTATCAAGTAATTGCGTATCATAGGTAAGAACAATTGAACCACCAACAGGTACAAGAAAATTTTTATCTGTACTTTGAACAATATAATCAATACGACCATTTGAAAGTTTAGTCTGTTCAATTTCATGAATAATTTTTGTTGATTGTAAACCATATGCATTATTAATTAAATGTGGTATTGAATATGTTTGACATAAATTACTTATATACTGAATATTATCAATAGCACGTGGTGCAAAACAACTTGTTGTTGATATAATACAACATATTTCATTTGGATTTAATTGTTGAATTTGTTTTTCAAATTCATTTATATTTGTTTGAAGATAATTATTCTTTTCTATTTGTTCAATTATAATTGGTTCTAAATTAGCTGCTAAAATTGACTTAAAACAACTTTTTTGATCAATACGTGACCAAAGAACATAACGTGAATTTGGTCGTTGTTTTTTTAGTGTTAATAAACATAATGTCATTGTCATACCTATATAAATAGAAACACGTTTGTCTTGATTAGAATATTAACACTCACCAAAATCCTACCGGTTGCCATTGGAATAACAAGTGCATGTTTGATTGTTCTTAAACCAAGAATATGAATTGCATCAAGTACAAGTTCATTTGTAAGTTTATTAAGTAATGATGAACCGGCTGCTTTAGGTTGAATTGCATTAATATCACCAGAACGTCCGATACCATGTGAAAATGAAGAATAACGTCGTGCGACAAGAGATGAATAGATACGACCTGAACAAAAAAAAATATAATTATTCGTTAAAATCAATGTTTTAATAGATTACCTTCCCGTTCTCCTACACCAACATTTCCTTCAAAATTATTTGAATCCATTTGTGCTATTTCATTTAGCCATTGTTCAATAAGATTCTCGTCTAATGGTTGTTCAGGTAGTTTCCTATGTTCAATTATTTGTCGAATTTGTTGTTCATGTGATCGACGTGCTTGTCGAGCTAAATCAATATATGAACGAGGTACAAGACGTTCCGCATATTTAAAAGCATCATCGTTCATTTTATTTTATTTATTTTAATTTGTTAATCGATCTACAATAAATTTATTATTACAAATAAAATTATACGAAAAAAAAAAAAATTTTGAAGATTATAAATGTTTTCAATTATTTTCAAATTAAATCACTATCTATTACTCAACACAATTTATAAAACATTTTTTTGCAGACCTTTTACAATAATTATACATTCACTTGTTTTCGAAAACACGAACAACCTTTTATCTATGATATACAATATTGGTGAAAAAATATAAAATCGAAATGTTTTTGATTTTTTTCTACCATACTAAGTATCTAACTCAAATCAAAACAGTAGTTTGATTAGCCAATGTAGTTCCTCATCAAATACATTCTATACTGAAATTTCATAGCTGAACTATGACAGTATCTATGATAGAGGAATCAAGGAACTGAAGCACTAGTTTGACATAAAATTCTTAATATTTTATGTGCGTTCAAAAAGTCATATTCTGAAACCACTAAACCCAAACTTTTACCTCGTTTCAATGTACTATGGCAAAGTTAGTCAATACCGATTTTTGAGCATTATGAAGAAATTAGTCATAAATCGTGCAATGAGTGCTTTTTAGGATTATACTTCAACAAATCAGAGAATTTTTCGTGTAATATACTAAAAGATGGAGCATCGATAAGTAAAAAAGAAACAGAGACGAGCTACTGAAATTGTTACAAAATAACATATTTACTGAGATTTTTTAGTCCAACATGCTTCACAGCTCTCTCTTTCTCCTACAAAGCGATTTGTCAAAAGAAAATAAACAATTTTAGCAATGTTCGTTGTCATGACACAATTATAAAACAAAATAAATGTGACACTCAGAATTATCGAGAGAAACAACATTAAGTAAAATATATTTTAGGAAATTCTTTTCCTGTGAAAAAGTTCTTCATGGTCTCACACGGCCATATTTGATTTAAATTTTGTCCGTAGTTTTCCATGGATTATTTTTCACAGGAAAAAATTTTCTAAAGTTTATTTGACTGAATGTAGTTTTTATACTGATTCTGGATATCATCTTTATTTTGATTAACAATTTTGTCACGGTAATGAGAGCCACTGAAAATGTTATTTTTTTTTGCTTTTGCAAAACTATCGAAAATCACAATGTAGGAGCGAGAGAGATGTGAGGCCTATTTTTTCCTGAAGGTAAAATTTTCTTTTAATTGTTTTGTACAGAGTAAAAAGTTACATAATATACTTAAAAAATTCAGCTTTGCATCTTTTGATTTCAGAAAATGGCATCAGATATATTGTCAAATATTGACTCTTATGAACTTGTAATTCTTTTCACGCATGTTGAACTAAAAAATCTCAGTGTAATATGTTATTTTGTAACAATTTTAGTAGCTCATTTCTTTGTCAACTATCGATGCTCCATCTTTGACTATGTTGCACGATAAATTTTCTGGTTTGTTAAAGCATAACCCTAAAAAAACACTCATAGCACGGTTTTTGACTACTTTCTACATAATACTCAAAAATTGGTGTTGACTAACTTTACCGTAGTATATTGAAGTGAGTTAAAAGTTTGGGTTTGATAGTTTCAGATGATGGTATTTCGAACGCGTAGAGAAGACCGAAGGTGTAAATTTTGATCAGTACCTCGTAAACAAAGGTGAGTTTCAATATTCTCATTGATACTCTCTTCAAGAGCATGACATCCTGAATCAGATGAAGGCTTGCCGACTGTCCTACAACCTCCTCTTAGAAAGTTATAAGCATTACAAAAAACAAAAAATGCGTTTTTTAGCAATGCTAGAATGAGTTTCGTTTTTTTTTAATTTTTTTTTGTCATGTTTATAACTTTTTCGAGAGAGGCACACATTTTTTTGTGACCGATAAACTACTATATTAGATTTTTCAGAAACCTTTCTCTCATATTCCATCTATGAAATCATAGTATAGAATGCATTTAAAATAGAATTTCATCAGCTATTGACAACACTGTTTGGTTTTGAGTTAAATACTTGGTGTCGTACAAAAAAAGTAGTAATAATCGGTTGGTTTTATATTTTAGAGTAGCATTGTTACAAGAGAATCTCAGTTAATATTGAAACAATCAAACATCAAGGTCTTATAATTAGTTATCTTGATTAAACCATACGGTTGTCATATACAGGATGGGCCATAAAGAACACTATGATAAAAAAAAAAAAACTAAAAGATCTTCACTTCATTCTACTCGATTATAGGGTGATTTTCTGTTTGAAAGAAGATAGACACGCATAACTCGCTAGGATAAGTCGAACACTGATATTTGTTTTTAGGTTCGCAATGGTCTAACTCTGTTATCTCCATGTTTCTGAAATATCGATTCCTTCATTTTATGGCAGTTGATTATGAGTCATATCAGTTTGAACCTAAAAACGAATATCATCATTCGACTGAGTATGATGAGTTATTTTTCTCTAGTTACTTTTCGTGGTGATCACACTTCAATTTGCTGAACTTGGAGTCTTAGGAAAAGTTTTGTCACTTTCAAAAAGAACAAGTTAGCAATATTAACTTTATGTAGACTAAAAGAAAAGCAGCTTCACAATATCGTTTTCGGAAGTCTCTAACAAGAATGCACCTGATTGATTCATTGCTAACCAATTGAATTTCGACGATACTGAGTTTCTCTTTCTTATGACAAAAACCGCAGATGTCTATGATGTGCGTATGAAAAATCATTGAAAAAACTATAGAGCACATTTTATTTTGAAATAACTAATAGTTTTGAAAACTTACTCTATCAAAATCAATATAGCATCATTCATAAAATTAGTTTTGATCTTTCTTTCTTCTTTTATATGATAATTGAAAACTATCTATGAAATACTGCACACACTTTTTTCTTACTTAATAACAGTCAAATTGCTTTCATGATACCAATAAGAATAGTTGATAGTAATAATTGCTGATCTTTTTCGTTTGAAAAGAAAAATCTTGAATAAACTTCTGCAACTAACCTAAAAAGATGGTCCATTTATTTGAATCAACTCGTAGATATTTCATTTTTTTATCGTCGTACTATTTATGGGCCAACCTTTATATATCATTAGACATACAATTCTAAATCATCGAATATGATAAAAATACTTCTGGGATACTGTCATACACAATAAACATCCAACAGTCTTATTATTAAACTTCAATTTAAATTGATCCATCTTTATAGACCAATTCATCATATGAATCATTATTCGCATCTAGAACTTATAATATCATTTTATACTATTACAAGAAATGTCATTTTACTCGAATAATCATACAAAATTCGTAGATATCCAAACAAAAAAAAAAGAAAATGTCAAATAAGATATATATATATATATATAAAAGTCAATGAGAAAAACAGTAACAAAAAAAGGATTGATCACGTTCTCTTTTTTTTTTATAATACAAATTTGAGAATACTACGTGTAAATGAGAGAAATCCCCGAGATAATAGTCGAAGAAATTTTATCAGCCAATTTTTCATTAAACATATTTTATCCATTGGAAAATAAAATTTCGAATAACAATTTTTTTCTTTATTTGATGTTTGATGACGTACGGGTTTCCGATTAAAACCTTGTTGCAATGTCCAATGCCACGAATATTTTTTATGTATTTGTCGTTGTGGTGTTTCTTTTTCACTATTTAGTATTCGATTTTGTTCTCGACGTTGTCTACGTGTTTTAAACCATGTAACATAATATACTTTAACTTTATGAAACGATGAAGAAAGATTCTCAATACTACGACGTAGTGATGTTCGAATCTTTTTAACAGTTGATGAACTAGCAAAATTAGCTAATTTTCGTTTACTTTTTTCAATATATTTATGACGATGATCAACGATATTACTAACTGATGCACTTAAGTATTCGAAAATACTTGATAAATGAACTGAAGCATCAGCAGCAATTGATTCTGTTTGCTTGAATATAATAGTAACTAATTTATTCAATGTTGATTTTGTACACTAAATGAGAAAAAATGTGACACTTGTTTATATGAAAAAAGTGGAAGTATTTCATTTGTCTTACATTAACACCTTCTATACATATAATTGTATTTTTTGGGTACTGTTCTTGAGTTACTTGTAAACGATGTTCTAATAATTTGATTTTTTCTTGTAATTGTTCATTCTCTTGTGTTAACTATTGAAATAGAGATAATATGAAAAAATCTATTTATTTATAAAATAATTCTTTTACTTGATGAATTGTATTTGTCAAACTTTGTTGTGTCCTCTTTAATATTTCTTGAAGTTCATATATCTGTAAACCAAAAGCATATTTTTCACGATCATGCCATGCTGATTGTTGATAAATCATATGTTGAAGTTTTTCTTCTAACTAAAAATGAAAATCTGAAAAAGTAAATAACAATAAAATAATTTTCAATGATTTTACCTGTTTCGTGAGTGCCTCTTCAACGTTTCCCATACGCATATCTTTTACATTATTAAAACGTTGATTTGTTTTAACAAGTTCTTCCACGACTTTAGTTATCATTGATTGATCTATTTCCAAAAAAAAAAAAAAGAATTAATAATCCAAATATATGAAAACACAGCCCTACCCCATCGTGTAACAATATGTCCAAGAATAAACGGTAAAACCAAGAATATAATTATGTATACATAAGAAATTGATATATTATTTTTATTTTTATGTTGTTCAAAACATTTTTGTGGCTTAATTTCTTGAAAAGTTGGAGTTGAGTGAATTATTTTAGACTCATCCGTTTGTTGGACACTTAAATCAATACGAGAACTTTTAGAAAGAAAAAGAAATGTTGTTTTTTTTTTATTCTAAAGATCTGATATAAAAATAAAGCATACCGAAGATCATTTGGCAATGGACATGGTTCACTACTAAATGCACTACTATTTGTTAATGATACTGTTCTACTAAAATAGAGATGAATATTATTTCTTTGATTGATTTATTTTTTCAAATAATTACTTTAGCGAAAATCCAGTATTGAGTATATCATTTTCATTCGTTATTTCAGGTGTATTAGTACTTTTTTCAACAGTTGAATTATCATTCTCATTCGAAAAAATTATTTCAGCTGGTAAAGCCTCTTTTTCTTCTTTCGTTGATAATAGGTGATCATTAGTATTCATAATTGATGCATTATTACAGTGATAATATAATAATGAATCTTCATCATTTGTTGCTTCTAATGAATGGTTTTTTTGTTTTGCATCATGATATTTATTTATAGATGAGTGAAATATATCATTATTTATTATTATATCATTATTTTGTGCATATTCAAGTCTAAACATAAGGATTCAATTTCAATTTTTACTGTTACTTATTTGGGATATATACTAATCAATGGAATATAAATTCTTTGAATGAAATGAAACTAATTGTTTATAAAAAAGACATTTGATTATAATTCTTTTTGCGTTACACCGGCGATACTGTAATAAATAAAGGTATCGTTATCATCTGTTTCCAAAGTTTCTGGAGAACAGCTCATCAGAAAAATTTGATTAATCTTTACGATTAGAGCAAAATTTGTCATAGACTTGGAGTTTTCAGATATCGTCATCTATGAGATACTTAAGTCGCTATGCTTCCCCTCCCCATTTTTCCGAGATGCTATGTTCGATTGTGTTCAAAGTGTTTTTTCTACAGATACTAGATATTGTGTGAGATAGGTTTTATTTTTATTTTTGGAATGTTCTAGGCCGTGGAAACGTGATTTACTATTTTTGTCAAGTAAATTTGATTTTTTAACAATGAACGACAATTTTCTAACACTCAGTCGATAGATACTATTTCAGACTGTATAATGGCTACAAAAAATTAAGTATTTTGGATTACGAAAGGCGATTACGCTTCAACGATTGGTTATCTTTTGATAGTTCTTCTACGACAGTACAACGGTCCTTATTGTCCGATTTTTCGAAAATAAATGTTTAGGAAGCACGAAAGCTCATGTGCCTTATCAAAAGATATAAATAGTGTTTTTTGTTGATTAGACTTCAATCTAAAAACTGACATATCAATAACGATCCCAATATTTAGTTTCAAACAGCAATAGTGAAAATATAAAAATATACAGTAAAATCAAATTTTTGTGCTTTCCAAATATTATTTCACGATGTTTAAACAAAATTTGCAAATCCATTTTGACAATCATAACTTTGTCTCGTCGAAAAAAAGTTTTCTATCAGTCGGCGATAACTGTCGTTAACACTATTTCATAAACCAGTTGGAAGATCATAAGATATAGCTCTACGGTCCATGCTCTGCTACTCACTCCATTAGTTCGTAGAAAATATTTTTTAAAACAATTAACAGGACAAGATGAGATACTGTTGACCTTCCATTTTTTTTTTATAAAGTTTATTCTTAATTCCTTTCAACAAATGTTTACAATTGTTGACAGTCGTATTTCACTTACTCCGTTGAAGAAATAGAAGACAATGAAGCACTTCGACCTAATTTTGATGAGCTGCTACTGCTGCTGTTGCTCTGACTTGGTGATAATGATGCACTCGAACATTCATTATCAATAAAATTTACAGTTTTCCGAAGAATCTTGTAAAATATAAATAAAAACTATATTCCATAGAGACATTTAAAAAGTATCCTACTCGATTTATTGGTGGTATTTCATGTAAGTAAATCCAATCTTCATCTTCATTTGAAGCATACATTTCCTCGTCTAGTTCTGTAATAAAATATTTCTACTCAAAAAATGTCCCATGTTAATCCTCATACGACATTTGTATTTGTACAAACGTCAAATAACTGTTACACAATAAATCACGTTTTTTTTCTTCTTTTCTCTTACGTATGTCATATTCAGTGCTTCCATAAAATATATCATGGATTTAAAAATTATTACAGAGGAAACCATGTCAATTATGATTGGATACTTTTCATTCTTTGTCATTTCTTAACTATTTATTCATAGTAAAAATAATAAAAGACAAAGAAACTTATTGAAATTTTACTTTCTTAGATAATGTCAGGTCCGTTTAATTGGCTTTTCGGACTTGGAAGTTCACCATCAGCATCGAATTTATCTAATACAACTTATCAAACGCCATTAAATCAAAGTACAATAACAACTTCATCACAAATTCCAGTTCAAACATCAACACTAACAACAACAAATAATCTTTCATTACATCGAAATTTAACACAACTTATTGATGAAGGACAACGTTCATCATTACAAACAAAACGTGAATTATTAAATAATATTGATCAATTAAGTACATTAGGTTTTTTAAATTCAGCAACTGGTATTAATGTTCAACGTATACAAGATCAATTTGAAAAAATTGATAAAACATTACAAACAACAACAGCAACAACAATAATTAAGCCTAAAGATGATACAATTGAACAACAATTTGATGGAAAATCAACAAATAATCTTAATGATTATCTTAAACATGAACGCGAAAAAACACTTTTATCTATGTTAAGAATGATTGAAGATAAAGTATATAAAGAAATTAATTTATGAAAAAGAACATTTTCTCAATTTTTTTAAAATTACTTTTAGACATATGATGGAATTAATCATAATAGTAATTATGTATTAGATAATAATTGGCAAAAACAACGACAAATGATTTTATCCACTGTATCAAAGCATGATCAAAATTATCTTGATGAAGCAAATGCAATGCAGGTAAGAATTCAGATATTATAAATCAAAACTTACATTTTCAATTATTAGATTAAACGTTTTGAAACACCGAGAACATTATCAAGAGGTTTATCAAATATTGAAGCTGCATATGCAAAAGTGGTAAGTAATAATATTTGACTTGGCTAGTGCCAATTGAATTAATTGTTTTGTTCATAAATAAGCCTCACGGAGGCTAATGTCCATTTGAAAAATAAAGTAGATGGGTATTTTTTAAATAGCTTATGATAAAAACAAGATAGAGCATTGCGGTTTTCATCAGTGTGAAGAGAAAATGAAGTTGCATAGAATTCTGAAATGTTTTCTCAAGTTTTTTTCAATGAAATTTATAAAAAGTACTGCTGAAAGAATATTTCCTTCTAACCTAAGAAAAGGAAAAAAATGAATTTGTTTTACAGAACTTGCTTGAAAAAGTCGGCTGAGAACTTCACCTAAAAGCGTTGTAATATACGATTCGATAAGAACCATCCTCAGTTTTGTTACATTCATAATTTATCTAAAATAGAATTTCATAAGGACAAAATAAAGAGATTTGTGAATGATCAAGACATGAGCGAATGGTTCGTTTAAACTTTTCCATACTAAGATCTTTCCATTGTAAACTATATCAATCGATTATCTGTCCTGTAGACCTTCTCTAGTAAAAATTTCAGCTTGAACGACAGAAATATTACTGAGTTATGAGGTAAATATTGCTAGAAATGTGCACGAAAAACCTATAGTTATATTATCATTTTTGTTCATTATTGTCTTAATATCTCGAGAACGAGAAAGAAACAGCATAATTATTTTACTGGTTCTGAAAGCTCGTAGGAAGAGCTATAGAACTAAATACTTTTGACCTTTTTTTTTACAAGTAACTTTTGTTTTTCGATGAAGTTCTTTTTTCTTGAAAAAATCCAGCTGAGTTCCAGTTAAAAAGTGAATTATTTGTTCTTTTATTTCGAAATGATCCTTAATAGAGTCAAAAATTGTTTTCCACTGATCAAATGATTTTATGATTAAATTCATTTTTTGGATGTACTCCAACTAAATGGTTTCAGGAAAAAAAAAAGTTTTTCGAAACACATAAATCGACTTCATTTTTTATGCTGATTCCAAATATGTTATCCTTTTTGATTAAAAATCAACTTTTTACAATCACCCACACCCTATTTATCCTTTGAACTTCATTACTCTGAAGAAGAAGAGCTTTGTGAGATGATTCATTCTTCATTATTTAGTGATGTGTTCTGTTTATTTTTCATATTAATTTCATCGAAGTTCATTAAGCATTCGTAGACTAAATAAAAATATCATTTGAATAATCATGATGTTAGTACAGAGAACTGAGAGGTACTAATCTTCGATCAAATTAACTGATCTGTCGACTAACAGAAAAGCATAATCTGATTCTACTAGCATGCTAAAGTATCAAGAATTAGTCCTATGCCTGATGAGAAGTAATGAAAATTTAGTAGACAATCTTATTCAATCTAAAAGGCTGAAGAAAATATAGGCGTTCGTCATCATATTGCTCTTTGTATTTAATCAATCCAGACGGTTTCATTAGAGTTTGGCAGTTACCAAAACCCGCCATTTGGAACCAGAGTCATAAAAGCGTCAGATAGATATGAATATTTTAAATATATTTTGAAAACTTTTCACTATTGAATTGTTGAGCTTAAAGAGACGAAATATTTCAGTTGTTAAAAACAACCATATCCTACACATATACTAAAATCTTTGATCTCAAGAATTAAAAACTGAAGATATCTGGGGATAAGTTAATGAATTTTTTTATCTATTTAATGATTCAGTTTTTTGGAATCGCTGTGCTCTAAACGAATGCCCTGCACAGATACGATTTTTCGTACTCGAGCCAAAGCTAATTGACATCCGGTTGATATTTTCAAACGTTTATTCTCTATACAAATGTATCCTAGTTTATTTTCTTCCATAAGTAGCAACAGAAAAAGAGATCATCTCGAATTTCATACAAAAGTTAGTGAATTAGAATTCACTTGATATCATTCTGTTTCTAAGATCTGATTAGTTTTGCTAAGTATACAATTTCGTATTGTTGATAATGTTGTAATGAAAATTAGTGTTGATGCGAAACGTCATAATAGTGAATACATACATAAATGCTTTTTCCATTATGATAATAAATCTTCAGCTTTTGGATAATTCATTTTCTTCTTCATGTATTCAATAACATTATCATATATAGATGAATTTTCATTAAAAATCAAATTCTCGTAGTAAAACAATATCGTTTTCTACTTCTGTGATTCGTTCTCTAGTACAATCTTAGTCATTTGTCAATTAATATTTTGTTTTTATATTGTTAAATGCACTGTTATATATTAAACATAGATTGCACTTTATAATGTTGGTAAAATAGCACGACAAAACTTAATTGATGAATTTACAACTGTTGTTGAATCATCAAATCAACCACAGGTAAAATTTAAAGATTTAATTCTTTTATGAAAATGAAGTAATTGATTTTTAGGCATCCATTGATTTATGGAATATTGTTCGTCATATGAGTCAACTTCCAACAGATTATTTAACTAATCGAACATCCTTACCATCTCAACAAGCTATTGTATTATCTGCTCG